AACCGTGAGTTCCAACCTTTGGGGACCGGCAGTTCCTTGCCATGAACCAAATGCAAACATTTTGGTACCGGTCCATTAAGCAAAAACAAAGCGTTCTGTACCGGTCCTTTAAGCAAAACCATAAAGTTGTAAAGAAACTGTTTTCATATCATTTTAACATGCACCTTTTTCGTGCAAAAAAGATTTTTATGCCGGCCCAGCAGCCGAACGCAAACATTCCGCTACCGGTCCATTAAGCAAAACAAAAGGTTCTGTTACCGGCTCAGTAAGCAAAACAAAACAACATGAAGAACCATGAGTTCTAACTTTTTGCAACCAACAGATCCTTCCACTGGTAACGTTACTTTTTCAGGCTTGGAACCATGAGTTTCAAGCTTTGGGATCCCGCAGTTCCTTACAATGATAGTTGCTTAGCTTCGAAAACATAAATTCTAACTTCTGGGAACCGGCAATTCCTTGCAATGGTAACCTCTGGTTCCAGGTTGGGGACCTTAAGTTTCAAGGTCTGGGAACCGGCAGTTCCTTGCCATGGTAACCTTTGGTTCCCACGTTGGGAACCATCAGTTCCAACCTTTTCTATCTGGGGTCTATGCCGGTGTAATTTCAAAATTTCCCATAATCACGGACTTCACCAAGAGGCCAGCAATGGCGAGCCAGAGTAATGGGTTGAGACCCGCGTTTCACAGGAGCGACTTTAGCAGAAGCCGTATTTTGTTTGACGACATCCGCCCAATTGTCCTGCCTTGCAGAAGTTCCAGAACCGTTCGCCTGGCGACCAAGGCCCGATGCTTTGGCAATCTTCAAGAAAGCTTCCAACTTCGGAACCAAGGAAGCCGGGTCTTTCCGGATCCCCTCAACAACCTTATTCAACTGGTCAACCAATTTTGGTCCCTCTTCAGCAGACGAATTGGGTATGGCCGACTTTTTCTTCCTCTATTTCTTTTTCTGAAGGTTTTTCTGGGGCGACGTGCCAACAAAACCCTCAAGCAAGTTACACAACCGAGTCAGAGCATCATTCTGTATTGCTTTCTCATTGCGCTTACGTTTCGTGGCAGAGCTTCCTCCAGCAGCACCGCCGCGGAGCATGGTGTTGAGCCCACGGCAGGGTTGGGGATCTCTGTCAAGAATCCGGCAAAACTTGTTCCAAACAATACAAACCAAGGAATAGCAAAGTTTGACACAGTAGAGCCAACCCAAAAGAAATAAATGACGGCAAGTCAAGCGGCAGGAAAAGCGCCGCCTACGTGCCTGTCTGTATCTTCTTCTGGCAACTTTTCGGCAGGCCAAAGGTCTTTGGCATGGACGTGTCCAAAAGTGACTGCGACACTTCCAAAGGAGATTCGCCCACTTGACACCCAGGTAACTCCGGTAAACACCAGACCAAAATCTAAAGAAAACTTCGGGGTACCCCCTAATGTTTCCTTTAACTCCCTCCAGGCCGTTCGCTCCCCTGCCGGGGTCCGCATGCTCCACGAGGAGGATGCCACTCCGCATGCTCAACTTGGATGACCGGTTGTCTGTCCAAGTTTCTTCTGGATGGGTTTCTTTACCTTTTGCTTTGACACAAATTTCACACCAGCTACGGTATGGTAAGTGTGTCAAGTTGTGAAGTTCTCGTTCTTGCTGTGTCGGTTCCAGTGGAGAAGTCAGTGCCTTAGGCTTACGCGCAGTGACATCAAACGTCTCCTGTTCTGGTTCCTCAGTGAAGTTCTCCAGTGGTGCAGGTTCAAAGATGGTGTATCCGATCCAACTATGGCCTACATCAAGTCCTACTTCATATTGGTCAGTTTTTTGATCTTCTTCTCTCCACCAGTTGCAGTAAGTCATTCCATCATTCTTGGGTCTGTCCGGTGATTTCACAAAAACAGTCCAACGCAATGAACCAAATTGGTCCTCCGCTGGTCCTCCGTCAGTGAAGTCAGGCTCATACAGCGTGTTTCTTAATTGATAATGGAATCTGACACATGCAATTGGAAGTTGAAACCAGTAGTCACCAGTCCTTTGTTCACCAGCGGTTGGATCTGGGACAAAGAAAAGTTCAGTTAGCCCTAAGCTAAGGCAGTACATGACAGCAGTTCGGCCGTCAGTTTCTTGCCGGTCACGTCTTCATTCAGTGAACAGCGTAGTTCCTCAGTGTGTCGCTTTCGTGACTTCCGTGAAGTGTCCTCAGTGACTTCAGTGTCTTGAACCTGCTCAGTGTTCACAGCCTCAGAGGCTGGAGTTGGAACACCTGGAGGTGGTCCTTTAGTCAAATACCTACGACTAGGAGGAGGTGAGTTGAGGAGAAAAACAGTTCTACCTTTCCAAAACTCATCCTGTCTAGTATTTGGTTCTGACAGGTTCTTGAAGTCAAAGTCCACGATCTTGTCTGTCTTACCTTGTCCATAGTCCAAGTAAGTGGTTCGAACTCCCGAGAGTTGGTTCAGTTTAACAGGACATCCAGGACCAGGAGTAAACAGACTTCTTCTTGGTCGTTTGTGAATTCTCACCAATTTGTAGTTTGCTTCATCAAGTTGCCATTCATCAACATGATAGTACTTTGGCTTGATAGTTCCAATGTGAGATTCCAATTTCTCAAGTGGATCATCTTGAGTCACGACAGTACTCTCTTCGGTAGTGACATGACTCAACTCAGTGGAAAGTTCTCTCATGTGTTCTAAGTGCGCAGTGAGTTCTGGTGGAACATTGGAGAATGGTTCGAGTGATGGTGTCAGGTACAGCAAAGTGCCGTGTCGAGTGATTGAAATCTTCTCGCCTTCAGGAGTCAGTAACATCAAACAGTCCTTTCCAAGAATAGTCCAAAAACCTTGCAAAACCATTCTTGCAACAGAAACCAAACAAAAAGGAACATCGCACACCTAATAGATGACATTCAAGTATACACCGTCACAGTTGTACCGAACTAGTCTACGTCCGTATAATTGCAGTGGTTTCCCAGTCACACTTCTCAACTTGGGAGGGTTCTCACCTAGTGGAAGGAGAGGGTAGTCAGAGGCATAGTTCGCAGGACAACAGTGAGCAGCAGCTCCAGAGTCAAACAGGACCCAATTCTCTTGAAGTGAGAGTGAGGCTAAACAAGTCTCGTGAAACAAATCCAGGGCATCTGAAGCATTTGAGGATTGAGAGTCCAGTGGCAGTCCTTCAGATCTACCAAACATGCTCAAAACAGCAACAGTACCCAAAAGTGCTCCGGCAGTACCTAACTTCGAAGAGTGGCCGGCTGTGAAACTAAGTTCGCGTCGTTGGATCCAGTTGGGTGCCCGACAGTCTGAGTGTCTGGCCAATTCTGTTCATGCCAGTATCCAGTCCAGTCGCCACTCCAGTCGGTCCAGTCCGTCCAATCTGTCCAGTCCTCGCAGTACTGATTCTCATACCACTCTTCAGTTACTGAACATAACCAGTCATTCCACTCTTCTTCAGTCCATTCTTCCTGAGTGTCGTCAGTTACATAGTCAACTGCGTTCACCGTCATTTTACAGTCTTTACTGAAGTGTCCGAAGTTGCCACAGTTCCAGCATCTTTGTCTGTCTCCTTTACCTTTGTCACCTTTGTCACCTTTGCCTTTGTAGTTCATTCCAGTCTTACCTTTTCCTTTCATTTTTCCTATTCCTTTCAGGGGGTACAGTCCTACTCTTCCCTTTCCTTTCTGGCCAAAGGGGTGCAGTCCTACTCTTCCTTTGCCTTTTCCTTTTCCTTTCAGGGGGTACAATCCTACTCTTCCCTTTCCTTTACCTTTCTTCCACATGGCACCTATGTCCATTGGTGTTGGAGTGTCACTTTTCACAACATGACGCGATTGGTAGTAGTCCAGTATCACATTCCTAACAGTGTCATGCGTATCGTGTCCTCACGTTCAGTCTGAGGTGTTGCTACCAGTATGCTACCAGTATGCTGTCCGGCAGGGCAGCTCCAGTTTGACGCTCGTACCTGTTCTTCAGCTGTTCCCATTCAGTGTAGTCTTGTTCAAAGTATTCAGTCCTGAATCGAAACTCAAGCACCTTAGTCAACAGACTAATGTTGCTTGCAGTACTTGGAAGCGAATATCTACATGACAGTAAGCGCCAAGTCTCAAACCCGTTTAGTCCCAAGTTACCTCGAACTACCAGTCTAGCACTATTCTTAGTAATCAGGCTGAGCAAGTCGTGTAGCTGTCTACTAAAAGCTATGAGGCCAGTGAATTCAACTGCATTGTCTTCTATAGTCTGTACAGCGTCATCAGTGATGACCGCAGTGGCTTCTTCAGCAGCATCCATGACTCTCAGTACATGTTCTTTGAGCATAGAAACATAGCTTCTCACGTGCCATGACCAGTCTTCCCATTTCTCCATAGTTCCATCGAAACTTTCAGGTAGTGGGAGTCGTGAGTTTCCACCTAGAGTTCCAGTATCCCCAAGGGTCGCCATTTGCTACTGTGAGTTGCAGTGTGGTACAGTTCTACTCTTCCACCGCAGGCAGTGTGGTACAGTTCTACTCCTCCACCGCCGAAGTCTTCAAGCACAGTAGGAGCCAGGTAGCTCCGCTACCATGCGAAGCTTCAAGTTCACTTTCAAGTCCACCAAACAGTGCAGTGTCAGTCAGCTTCTAGTTTTCACTCAGGCCAGTCTATCAGTCACAGTACAACGTCTCACAGTGTCAGTTGAGTTCCTAGTGCCACTTGAGCCAAACCATAGTTTGGCAGTGCAGTAGATTCAGTGTACTGTGCAGTGGAGTGCAGAGTGACAGTCATATCTAACAAGCAGAAACAAACAAACAAACAAACAAACAAACAAACAAACAACCAAGCAAGCAAGCAAACAAACAAACAAAACAAAACAAAAACAAGACAAAACAAAACAAACAAATAAACAAACACAAATGTCCAACAGCAATGATGTTGAAATGTCACTAGCATACATATAAGTCACAAAAGGAACTAAATGAGTGACATCTCACAAGTTCACCTTTATATATTCTACGTGAAAATATGTTGTGGGTCGACGTGCCCAGCTCCGCCAGGCGGCACGTCCAGGTCCAGCTCCGCCAGGCGCCGCACAGCACTGGGGAAGCTCCACCGGCGCGGCGGCAGCGCCCCGTCGGACCCGTCGGCCTCGTCCAGCGAGGAGGGGAAGCTCCAACTGGCAGAGCGAGGTGCACAGCACAGGTCGCAAGTCCCAAGTCCCAATCCGAACATGATGGAAACTTCATATTCATTCTGCAAGTTGTCAAGTACATAGCATGTATATAGGATGCACTCAGTACCACCTTTTTTCCAGCTTCTAGATTCAAACATTTTCAGCTGTTTTGACCGCAGCTGCCTTTTCCACTTCAAGTTTCAATTAGAAGCCGACGTGTTCGAATTGTGGCGAGAAAAGCATAGTTGCGCCGAGCTTGACGGTGGAGTTTGTCGTGATGAATACAAGTGGATTGTGAATACAACTTGGGTGAAAAACCCTTTGCAGGTTATGAGCCCAACGCCTTGAAGAAGACCGACCTTCAAAAAGACCTCTTCGGCATGTTTGCTAGAAGGAGGGCAACTGAAGCTGAACTACAACAAGGTGAAGACGAAATGAGATGTGCCCAAAGACGTCTTGACTCTGAGCTTGCAAGTGGAACTGAGCCGCAGTTAGAAAGAATCTGAGGCAGTAGAAGTCTATGAATCACCTAGGGCTCCAAAAAGGGATGAACCGCTGGGAATTGAGGATGGACCAATAAATGCCCCGATGTCTTTTTCACCTCCTGTTCCTGACCCGATAGATCAGGGATTAGCTGCAAGGTCTTCAGGTCAGCCTGCAAGGTCGCCCGTCCGTGCCAAGTCAGAACCTAAAACACCAAGGAAAACTGAGGAAACACCGTCAAAGCGTTCTGAGGGAAATCCGCCAATGCAAACTCCTCAGAGTGCTGTTGAATCTTCGAAATCGCTGGTGGCTGCTGTGACCGATGTTTCGGCCGTGAAGTCGGAAGCGAATGCGCAGGGCGTTTCAAATGGACCTCAAAGTGCAGGTCAGACCGAGCGCAACGAGTTGTTCCACCCAGCACTGCATCTATGTCTCAGGCAGTGATTTCACCAACTCAACCTTTGTTTGATGAAAAACAGCTGAGACAGTTCCAGGGGATGTTCAATCAAGCTCCTTGGCTGTATCCTGGTGCACAACAATTGATGATGCCTCAGTTAGCTATGCCCCCTCCAATTGCCAGAACACTATTCTTGGAACAAGACGTAGGGAAGGCCAAAAAAATCCTGGACCTCAAGAAAACCTGGGATTGAAAAGCGATTTAGAAATGCTGATGGAAGAAAACAAGAAACTTCGAGAACGTGTTTTAGCTTTGGAAAGTCAGAAGGAAGAAGAACCGCAGTTCCCCACACCCAATGGGGAACAAAAGGAGGCTGAGACCACCACAAAGGAGGCTGCAAGACCCTCAAAGACTGAAGCTGAAGAGACACGAAATTTCCGAAGTAAGGAAGCTGAGACCACCAAAGGGGCCGCCGGCCCCCAAAGGTCCAAAAATGATGGAACTGCTAGCTTTACCGAGAAGTCACTGGAATTCATGTCCCTCATGATGGATTCCATGAAAGAGATGCAAAAACGAATGCAAGAACCTAGAGACGACATGGGGATGGTGAGAGGAATTGAAACTATACGTGCCGGAAGTCCGCACCTACCTCCTCTTGCTCCATGGGAAGCACAACAAAGACCTCTGATTCTTGGAGGTTGGCTGCTGTTAGCAGAACCGATCATAGCAGATCTTTCACTGACGGCTGCTGAATGGTGGAAAGATGTGGTCTGCGCTGCCGAGGCTTGGTACAAGCACCACATGTCTCTCAGGGCCATTGGATCGTATTAAACATCCTGCGGAAGCGCCCCCGGCGCTGTGTCACGAGAAATGGCAACGAGTAGAACGCCGTGTAGCATCCATGCACCTTCACAAGTGAGAGACGAGTTAGTAGCTTCAAGACGGTTGTCAACATTTGGAGTGTTGACCTACCTGCTGGTCACGTATAGTCCAGGTGGAGTATCTGAGAAGCAGAATCTGTTGCGCAATCTAGAGGACCGTCCAGAGATCCAGACTGTCTTGGATGGCCCACTTGCCTTGAGACGGTGGCTTCGGTGGAGGACAAGGACGAAAGAGATCGGTGCAATTGCTCCTGATCCAGCACTAGAACTGAAGGGATTGCTGAAGATGACCGAAAGAACCTTGGAGAGCCATCGAGAGTTACAATTCAGGGTATCTTTGGTAAGACCAGGATTACAAGTGGATACAACACCCAACCGTTTGCGTATCACTTGTTGGCCGAGTTTGAACAACTTGCCCTTACAGGAAAAATGTCCTGGAAATCGAAGTGACCCACAAAATCCAAAACCTCAAGAAGCCGAGAAGCCGAAGGTTTCCAAATTGAAGAAATTAGAAGAAGAAACGAAGTCCCCTCCGAGAAGAGAGGATTCCAGAGAAGAAAAGATCAAATGCAAGTTCTGCTTGAGCGAACAAGGTTGCCGACGTGGAAAAGCTTGCAACTGGTCGCATGATCAAAAGGATGAGCGACGACGATGTTGGAACTGTGGAAGCCTAGCTTGCACTCGTCCGAAGGAACGAGGTGATGCATCTCCAACGAAGCCCAAGATCCAGAAGGTCGAGGGGGAGGATTCATTATCTACAAGCTCAAAAGTAAAAGAGGATGAAGGGTCAACTGAAGGCCCGTCCATGAAAGAACTGTTGGAGCAAGCCAACATCATGCTGAAATCTTTGACTACGACTGCTGCATCCTCAACTGCGACTGGGAGTGCCACTGACTCCAGAGAAGACGTCGTGGATCGACTCCAGAGCCAATTGGATCAGCTGAAACTCAAGGTCTTTAAGATCAACCAGATCAGCTATGGAAGTCTTCAAGGACTTGTAGATTCTGGTGCAACACACCCTCTACGACCCCGACGTCTTGGAGAAGGAGATGAGACCTGCAAACGTGTTTGTCACACTGGCCAATGGAGAGACGACTTCATTGCAAGTGACCCCTGGCGGCATCATGGTGACTGAAAGAGTCGATGTCGAACCAACCTCCCGATGGGACAACTGGTCCATGACCTTGGTTGCGAAGTTTGCTGGAAGAATGGTGACTTGAAGATCCTTCATCCGCGCCGAGGTCTACTACCAGTGCAAAACCAAAAAGGATGTCCTCAACTACCACGAGCTCTTGCCTGGCATCTGATCGAGGAAATGGAGGTGGTGGGAAGTCAGAGAACTATGAGAAGCCTGAAGCTTGAGAAAGAGCAGAAGTAGATGCAGGAGTTGATCCAAAGTCACCCTGTTCTCCGTGAACTTCCAAAACGAATCAAAGACCGCCAATCAATCGCCGCCAAAGAAAACGTCTTCAGCGGGATGGCTGTTTGGTGCATCTTTATGCTGGAGAAGATGATGGGTTCACTTTGTCCAGAGCTTTGAAACAGCAAGGGGGAGAAACGAATCAACTACTTGAAATTGACCTGAAACGTGGGGAGTCCCATAACATGCTGAATGATGTTGGAACGTACTCTGGTCTCCTTTGCGCTGTTATGCATGACAAGGTAGATGCCTTCATTGCCGGACCCAACTGCAGAACGAGATCTGTCCTCCGGCACTACCCAAAAGAAAATGCTCCGCGACCAATCCGAGCGAGGCATGGAGCTGAATATGGTTTTTCTGACCTATCACCTGCGGAACAACGACAATTGGATGAAGATGATGTCTTGATGTGGCGCTTCATCTTTCTGTGGATGGTTGCAACATATCTACGACAAGCACGAGAAGTCAAAAGCCTGTAGGGTTCCTGTTGGAACAACCTTCCTCGCCTCGGCATTACATGCCGGAATGCGTGTCCTTCTGGGATACAAAGGAATGGAGAAAGCTCAAAAGAGGAGTTCAACTTTGAGGAGACTACCTTTTCACAAGATCGACATGGAGGTGCCGCAATAAAGCCAACGACCATGGCTGGCAACTTGAACATCAACGTCGAAAGTCATCGAATGCCTCGATGCAATGTTACCGAAATCAAATCATCATCTGAGCTCTCAAGATGGGCACCTGGAACTATGAGTATGGTCGCTGAAGCCTTGCTCACCCAGATTGTTCACTGCCAACCAAAGCTCGCGTCGCTGCGCTGGCAAGAACATCTGCAACATGGTCATGGACCTTTTCGCCGTGATTGTTTGGTGCGCCAACAAAGTCGTCAACAACAGCCACCTCATCGACAAGTCAGGTGGAGTTCTTTCAGTCGATACCGCTGGACCATTTGTCCGAGCCTATGATGCTGGAGGTTACAAAACAGCCTATATCCTTGTGGGAGCTCTCACATGGACTGTACCGAAAGGCTCACCCTTGAAGGAGGATGACGTTGAGGAACTGGAAGAGGAAGCACCTAACTTTGACGCGAAGAAGGGTGAAGAACAAGACCAACTACAAATCGAAGATGAACCAGCTGGCCATGAACCAGTCCAAGGCATCTTCGACGACCCTGAAGATGAAAATGAAGAACCTGAAGTTCAAAAAGCCCCAGAAGGCGAAGTGGAAGAGAAAGAAGAAAAAGCAGAAGAAGAAAAGAAGGTGAGGAGGAAGAAAGCCTGCAGAATTTGAGACAAGGGTTTTTCGACTTGCCTCCCCAATGTACTCCAAAAAGGCCAAAGAAGTTACAAGGGTCACCATGGACATGCTTCTTCGACGAGCTGATGGATTTCACATTGGCCACATAAACAGCGACCAAGGGCATGAATTCCAAGCGATCGAATGGCCAGGCTGAATGTGCCGTGAAAACCATCAAAACCCAGATTCGCCGAGTCCTATTGCAAGCTGAAGCTACTGGATCTTGGTGGCCCTGGGCAACAAGATTCGTCAACGAGCTTAATCGTGCGGCTCGAATTGGGGATTGGCCATCCTTCCTCTCCACTGTCATGGTCAGAAAACGGAAGTGGCGTCGTGGTGTCTGTGAAATTTCCACGGAGAATGTCAAATATCTATGTCCGTCACCGGAAGACCACGGTCATTGGATCCTACCTGATGGTGAACGTCCTCTCATCACAAAGCTCATCATGAAACCTGCACAACTTCCAGTTGCTGAAGAGGGTTGGATTGCTTTGGAAAGAGAAGCAGCTGATGCAGTCATGGCAAGGCGAAGATTACGCGGAAAGTCGGCAATCCGAAAGATGGAGGAGAAAGATCAGGTAGAGTAGAGGATGAAGAGGAAGCTGAAAAGAAGAGAAGAGTAAAGATTTAGAGGGTGATTGACGAAGAAATGAGAAGAATGGTGGAGGATGATGCGGAGTTGGCCTTGGAAGAGCTTCAAATCCTTTCGAAGCTGAAGAAGTTGGCCGTCATGCCAAACGAAGAGGAGGAAGTCTTGCAGACCAAAATTGTATCTCCCCGAGAAGTAGCTGAAAACTGGGAAGAACGGCTTCCTGCAGTCGGAAGTGAAGTTGAGTCCCTGCTGAACTAAAAAGAAGCTTCTCGTGAAGTATTTCCAGAAGAACTTCAAAAGCTTGAGGAAGATGCAGAAAAGAAAGGAAAGGGAATCGAATATATCCCATCAAAACTGGTGTTCACCAGAAAACCTGGCCCTGATGGAGGCAAAAAGAAAGTCCGGTGGCCGGTGGATGGCATGCGGAAATTTGGAACCCCGCCGTGAAGAAGAAGAAGAAGAAGACAACTTCAGTAGTGGAGCTGATGCTTCAGCTCTTCGCATCCTGGTCTGGGTAGTTGCCCGTGGCCAATGGTGTGCAACAATTCTTGATGTGAGAACAGCTTTTCTTAATGCCAAGATGGTCCAGTCAGAGGACGAAGACTTGCTGCTGGTGAAGCCCCCATACCTCTTCACTGAGAAGTTCCTGCGAAAGGACGTCCTCTACAAGCCTGAGAAAGCCATCTACGGCTTCCATCGATCTCGAAAATTGTGGGGTTTGACTAGAGATGAAACTATCAACGGCTTTAACATTGAGGGGGAGCATGAAGGGAGATCCATGAACTTTGTCCTCAAGCCTCTTCAGTCTGAACCAAATCTATGAAAGTTGCAAAATGCCGATGACGAAGACGGCCTGACGGTTTATGGGCTCTTGATGACATACGTGGACGACCTATTGATCGCAGCTCCAGAACCTCTCATGTTGGCTGTCCAGAACAAGATTCAATCAACATGGACTACGTCAGTTCCTGAGCCAGTATCCAACACTCCGGTACGTTTCCTTGGAATGGTAATTTCTAAACTCTGCTGGGCAGAGACCAAAAGAGATGTGTCGATGCTGACACAACAAAGCTATACGCTTGACTTGGTCCAGAAGGAGAACGAACATGTAAAGCCAAAGAAGATTCCACTGTCACGGGATCTATCTGCGATGGAACTAAAGGAGGAGTCACCTTCGATCGAAAAAGTTCGATCAGCCCAGAAAGCTGTGGGTGAAGCCTTGTGGCTCACAACCAGAGCGAGGCCAGACATCATGCACGTTGTCTCCAGAATGGTCTCTGCCGTCACGAGAGCTCCAGAAGCTGTGATGTTGGCTAGCACTCAACTCAAAGGCTATTTGTCCACCACTTCTGCTGAAGGCTTGAGGTTTTAAGTGAAAGAAAATGAACTTCCTGTGTTGACCGTCTATACGGATGCCTCCTTTGCCCCCGACTCTGAGGAATCCCACGGCTCATTCATCATCCTTCTGGGATCATCTCCAATCTTCTGGACAGCATCCACGTGATCTTAGCAGAACTTTTCCCTGAAGTCCCAAAGGTCGTCAAGACCGACAACATGCCTGCCCTTGCTATACTCACAGGTGATGGAGGAAGCTGGCGCACTCGACATTTGAAGCTGAGAGCAGCCTTGGCGAGGCAAGCTGTGGCAGTGGCTGCAGCTGAGTGGGCGATCCAACATGTACCTGGTGAATCAATGGTGGCTGACATAGGAACAAAGCCATTGACTGCTGCACGTCTGAACTTCCTTAAGAATCTTATGGGCATGGGAAAGTTTTGCGACCCAAATGAAAACGAAGTTGAAGTTAAAGAAAAAGAAGGAGAAAAGATTAAAGGAAAAGAAGAAAAGAAGGACGACCGGTTGGTCAACAAAGAGTTGAAAAGGCTTGCACAAACCATGCAAGTGCTGCAGCTCATCACCTTGGCTGCAACTCTTTCTGTTTCAAAAGCGGAAGAAGGATAAATTTCAAAAGCGTAAGAAGGAGAAAAAGCTGATGCGGATGGATCCTTTTCTTTTGAGATTATTGTGATCTATACCCTTCTGGTTATCTTTCTTACTCTGGTGGCACAACGTCTGTTGGATGTTGCAGTACGGGGAGCCGAATTCGTCATACGACAGCGTGTTTTTCGAGCTCAACCTGGAAGTCACGCCAATGATGCTGTGGAGGAATTAATGAGCCATCTCGAAGAGATCGCCTTGAACCTTTGGTGGAAGAAAGTTCCACTGCCACGGGAGGAGAAGATCCAGGACATGTCGCTCCGCAACCAGCTCAACATGATGCTCCGAGATCAAATATGAATGCTCCGCAACCAGACCCAGAACCAGAAAGCACAAGACCAACAAGTTCACAATCTACCGACCTCACAAATGCGTTGGCTGCCTTGCGAGTACATGACGCATCGATGCCAGACTATGACTATGAAGCAGAATGGAGAGAGATTGAACAGGAAGAGCGATTGGTACGAGGGGAGCTTACTCAAGCTCTTCCAGGTGACCCTCGTCTCGGGCCTCTCCAACTTCAAACTCTGCGACGCAGAGACCCAACGCCGGCATTACCAGAACTTCCATCTAAGGTGATCACCACGCGCTATGGAACGGTGTATCAAACGCGATAACAACTGGGCCGACGACGGTTCATGGATGGTGTGATCAGTGCCGTGATGAATCAGCCCAGACTGGAAGAATTCCTGGGCCTAGCGCTACGATACTTCTGGCGGGATTACATCCGTATGCCCATACCGATGTGACTTGCAGCCGTGCTGAGCCCGTAGCTTCTCAATTTGTACATCATGCCTAGCTGGCACCTAAGGTAGCTTGAGCTGGAACCTGTATATATAAAGATTGAAGCTCCTTTCGAAAGCTTCAAAGGGGCAGTGCAAGTAGTCAAGTACATAGCATGTATATAAGATGCACTCAGTACCACCTTTTTTCCAGCTTCTAGATTCAAACATTTTCAGCTGTTTTGACAGCAGCTGCCTTTTCCACTTCAAGTTTCAATTAGAAGCCGACGTGTTCGAATTGTGGCGAGCTTGACAGTGGAGTTTGTCGTGGTGAATACAAGTGGATTGTGAATACAACTTGGGCGAGAAACCCTTTGCATATTCATTCTCTAGCATGTGTTTTCACACTGGATGGCAATGAAAATATCCGGTAGAAAGGATTGTCATGGATTTTCTGTGGGAACCAACCTAGGAGAACAATTTTGCGAATGATCAATTGGAAGAAAACCAAACGCCAAATCTCAAATGAAAGAAAATCTTGGGCATGGCACCGCTTGAGCCAAAACGGACCCCCTCACCGGGGCCCTCACCTGCCATCCAGGTGGACCACAGCGATGTGGAACTCAAAGCGCTCCCGGTCCAAATCAACGCATCCATCGCATGCCTTGATGCTGGGAGTGGTCACAACCGATTGGTTTTCGAATGTTTTTGATCCAACCGGTTGTGATTGGGTCAATTGTCTTTTTGTGTTGTGATGGGACGCGCAGCATTGCGCAGTCCTGGGAACCCTGTCATTTCGCGTCTCCGCCTCTAGCTTTGCCATGAATGCCCATGGCGCACCTTGCCGTACAGAACACTGAGGTCGTAGTAGAACCTGGGTGCCAATTAATGCCACCGCCGAACTGACAGTGCAAAATAATACAACAATTGGCGGCATGTGCAAGCCTTTGTGGGCTTGATTGAAAGGGCCATGCATCCATTCCATACATCCCATTGAATGGTTCCGTATCACATTATATTTGGGAACGAGTAGGAGCCGTTGGCGAGCGCTGCGCCAGATCCCAGCAATTTGGAAGGCGAGGAATTGGTGCTGGGGGTAAAATGTTAATTTCCAATGTGACCTATTGAAAGTAAAACCGATTTCCAAGCATTATGAACCCCACAAATCATAAGTCTTGCGGCTCAGAAATGTGGTTTTGCTTCCCAGCAGCGGCCTTAAAGGTTTACTCTCCCATCGAACTGCACCTTGCGGCCTTTTTTTGGCATCAACGGAAAACTCACCGAGGGCGTGAGGATTCCTCATGACCTAGAAACTCGTTTGCGGCACTTTTTCCAAAAAGGATCCTCCAGCCGTACTGAGGCGTAATTTCTCCCTAGGCATTTTGAAGTTTTGCCCGTGTTTTTTTTGGTGACACCGGCATGTGATAGTCAAACAGTTGTTTTCACCAGGATTCAGGACCACACAGGTTCGAACATCCTCCTGAGGAAATGGTCCCTGGCATGGACAACCATTCGCTGGTGCCGTTTGGGCTATCTGGCTCTTGATGTTCAAATCCATTTGAGAGGATCATTCCCACTTGAAACATGCCTAGATCCACCCGGAGGATGAAAAAAGTGCCGCAATCCATGGTGACTGAAATTTCCACCGCAGCTCAGAAAAAAGACGCAACTCAGAGGGAAAAAACGCAGCTCAAAGAAAAAGGCACCAGGGGAAACTGCACAACTGCAACGAATGCTTAGGTTATGTCTTGAAATCAAAACTTCTTACAGGTCCTGAGGAATACAAAGATGTGTTCCCTCAGCTGTTTTCTCTTGGAACACCTTGATTACAAGTAATCAAACTCGAGTAGCAATTGGCAATTCGCGATTCAGTAATCCATTAGGGACCACTGGTGCGGTGTCAAAAGGCAAAACAGTTTGGACACATCTAGATGCTCGGCTTAGGTGACAAAACATCACAAAACCATAGTTTCCACCAAAATCGATTACTGTATATAAAAGATCCTGCAAAAATTGCGGGGTAATTTCGCGTAATTGCGCCGCAATTCCCCGTACAGGACTTTTTGATAGATTTTTGGATTTGTTTTTTGATTGCATTAGACAATTGCACAACACAATTGCAGCATACTGCAGCAATATTTGAAAAAATGGCTTGAGTCTGCTGGGGTGAGTTCTGAGACCTTACTCCGAGGGTGTCAGATTCTTAGGGAAAAAACCATGAGCCTTGAAAGTGATCCCTTGTACGCAGAGCTTGTGGCTACCATGGTTTTTGAATCAAATCTGTTTTGGAGCCCCTGTTTATTCGTTTGTTTGTTTGTTTGTCACTTTTCAAATCTTGGTGCTGGCTCTCCACCAATGCATTTGGAGGGTATGGCCGATTGCACTGCACTTGAGTCGTGGCAAGGGGAAGGGGCGGGCTCCTGAAGTATCTCCTTGTCAGCCACAGACCCCAAAAACTGGTGAGTTGAAGCCAAATGAGCCCGCACTTCATTTGCAATTGGCAATGTTTTCAATTTAATGTATTTTGTTGAAGAAGAAAAATGGACCCCACCTAGATATGTTTTCCACATGCAACGGTTCCAAGAAGTTTTGATTTCAGTAGAAGAGACGATCCAATGGTTGCAGCTGTGCAGTTTCCCCCGGCGCCTTTTTTCTGAGCTGGTTTTTTTTTTGAGTTGCAGTTTTTTTTAGCTGCGGCGGAAATTTCAGTCATTAACCCAGCTTTGCAACCCAACAGCATACCTGAATCTTCCACCTACGTCTTTTTTCAGACCCTGTGCCAAAGTCCTGTTTTTTCAGTACCCAGAAAACTTTTCAGGATCTACTCTCAAATTCAGGACCTGGCCATTTTGGGGTATCAATGGTAATGGCAATCATTGGGTGCAAACATGTGAAACCAACATTTGGTGGATATTCAAGCCATTGGCATTGATCCACGCAAATAAAAGCACTCCCAGCCCAAACTCATGGCAAGGCAGGATCAGAATATAGTATATTCCAGAAAGTATGTCAGAATAGATGCCAGATAGGATGCCAGAAAGAATGTCAAATAGAATCTCAGAAAAGAATGTAAGATAGTATGTCAGAACATATATGCCACATATACGTCCAGATGATATGTCAGAAACTATGTCAGAATAGTGTGTCAGGGTGGGGATCACTCTTAGTAAGGCAATTTTGAAAATATATTTCAGGTTCGGAATTTTCAAACTGTTGTCCTTCAGGCGCCGAAGCTCCCGTTGAAGGTCAGCATCGCCCCATGTCAACTGGTCCAGTCCCACTTCCATTTCAACAAGTCCAACTTCATCGATTAGGGTGTTGGTTGAATGGACTTGGGACTCTAGCTGGCACGGCATCCCTTGTAACCCTGTAGACACTGTAGTGGGCAAAAAGATTGTAACACACAGAATCAGCATCATTTTGATCAGGCATTCTTTTTGCTAATCCTTTCTCCCTATTACGAAAAATACCCCCAAATGACAAAAACTAGGTGCGATTTCCAATTTTGGGAAATGTCAAATTGGTTAATCTGATTTTTAATTGATCCCCTTGAGGAAACAATTTTAAAAATGAAGGTACCATGTGAGGGTTTCACCCCCAAAGAATAAAAAACTAGTCAACACCGGGGTGTCTTTTATTGGGGTCCGTCCTTTAAAATCGTCAATTTTAGTTTTTTTAATTCAGGTGTTGGTGTTTTATTTGATACTAGGCGAAAGCTTCGAAATCCTATTCTTGGCAGTATTCTATTTAAAGATTATTTTCATGGATTTTGAAATTAGAAACAAAACACGGTTTAATCCCTTCCCCCTGTTGCTAAACAGTCGCCCCTTCACCCACCCACCCAAATAACAAACACCTGGAGGAGTTTTTAGTATTGGGGGGGTCTTTAGTATTAGGGTACGAAGCTTCCCCCTAATACTGATAAAAAACACACACACACATATATATATACACATATTTCTATTTCAAAATCGATCAGATTTCTTTCTTTTTAAATCCAATTAAAATATGGCAAACAAGTGGATTCCGAAGCTTAATATCAAATAAAAAACACCAACATAAAAAACTATGTATGTTTTTCTATTTCGAAATCGATTAGATTTCCTTTTAAAAAATAAAATAAAATATGGCCAAAAAATTGGATGTCGAAGCTTTTCCCTTATATTAAACCCTAATATCATTTTGTTTTTTTCCTGTTTCAAAATCGATTAGATTTCCTTTTGAAATCTAATGAAAAAAATGATTTTGAAGCTTTCCCCCTAATATCAAATTAAAATCCAATTATTAAAATATGTTCAAAAATTGGATTTCGATGCTTCCCCTAATCTTGCATGAAAAATTCCAATATAAAAAACTAAGTTTGTTCTATTTCAGAATCGATTAGATTTCCTTGTAAATTCAAATTAAGATATTGCCAGAAATTGGATTTCGAAGCTTTCCCCTCATATTAAACCCTCATATCAAAGACTATTTTTTCTATATCAAAATTCATTAGATTTCCTTTTGAAATCTAATTAGAATATGGTCAAAAATTGGATTTTGAAGTTTTCCCCTAATATTACATTAAAAAACCCTAATATAAAATATTATTTTTTCTTTTTTGAAATCGATTCGATTTCCTTTTAAATTGTAGTAACAAAAATAAAAACAAAAACCGGATTTCGAAATGTTTCCTCTAATATTAAATTACCAGCCCTAATATATTTAAAAAAAAACTGTTTCAAAATCGATTAGTTTTCTGTTTAACATATAATTAAGATATTGCTAAAAATTGGATTTCGAAGTTTTCCCCTAAGATTAAATTAAAAACACTAATAAAAAAAAACTATGTTTTTTCGATTTCAAGAATCGATTAGATTTCCTTTTGACATCCAGCAAAAATATTGCCAGGAAATGCCAAAAAGTGGATTTCGAAGTTTTCCCCTAATATTATATAAACGTTGTAATATAAAATACTTATTTTTTCGACCTGAAAAGACCCTAGTTTAAAAAATCACCGGGGCTGACTAGTTTTTATTTTTTGGTGGTGAAATCCTGAAATGGGACCTTCATGTTTAATTTGTTTTTGAAAAGGTATCAATTAAAAGTCAAACTGGCCAGCCTGAAATTTCCCAAAATTTAACGCGGACCCTAGTAAAAGGAATCAATGTAATATTTTAGTATTTAGGGTACGTTTAGTAAAAGGAGGTGGGGATTAGTAAGGTTTTCAATTTAATATAAGGGGAAGCTTCGAAATCCAATTTGGCAAGATTTGAGTTAGATTTTGAATAGGAATTCAATCGGTTTTGAAATATAAAGTTCATTTTTTAAAACGAATGTTTTCAATTTAATGTCAGGGGGAAGCTTCGGAATCCAATTTTGGCAATATTTTAGTTAGATGTTATTTAAAAAATGTTTTCCAATCTAGTTTTTTTAACCAAGGGGGAAGTTTCGCACCCTCATACTAAATACCCACTAAATACAAAAAAACTATTCCGTGTGTTCATTATTGGGTGGGGAGGGGCAGACGGTTTATTATGACGCAGGGATTGGTCAGGCATCACTTGCTGGAATTATTGGATTCTTTTGGGATGATTGGTATGATGTTTAGTCAGGCATGGTTCCCTTCAGTCATGCACGATTTTTGCAACAATCCTATTTAGGCACGACCCCAAAATCCCAGCCCGGCAAATTCCGGCCCGGGCCCGGCAAATTCCGGCCCGCGCCCTGCAAATTCCGGCCCTGCGTTTTTCCAAAATCAGGCAAAACCGGTAAATCAGGTATTAAGTCAGGTGTAGTTACCTTTTAAGTCATTATTAAGGCTAGTCAGGCATGGTTCCAGTGGGTACCTTTTAATTGTGAAGGCTAGTCAGGCATGGTTCCCTGAATTCAGGGGCATGGGTACCTTTTAATTATGAAGGCTAGTCAGGCATGGGTTCTGTTAAGTCAGGCGTGGGTGGGTACCTCTTAATTATGAAGGCTAGTCAGGCATGGTTCCCTTAAGTCGGGTGTGGTTACGCTTTAAGTCATGAAGGCTAGTCAGGCATGGGTACCTTTTAAGTGATGAAATCTGAATCAGGCGGAGCTCCTATTCTAAATGTGTTAAATCCAATTGTTCAGTGTGGAAAATCGATTTTTTGGCTGGTCTACGGGCAAACCCTGTGTCTTCCAATACCATAGCGTGCTGATGTCGCTTGCCTGCATAATAGTTAAGGCCAAAGCTTAGGTCATCAGTGTGATCCTGAAATGGCGCCACGACCAAGAAGATGACATGTGTAAAATGGGCCCTGGATTAACAAAGGCTGACTAATGAATTTGGAGGATGCCACTAAAGTATGACATGTAATCACTTTTGAGGAGCACTCTATGGCACGCAGCGCGCGCAGCCTGCTTTACGGTTTAGCGTTTGAAAGTTTTAGGCTTTGCCTCTATGGCACGCAGCGTTTGAAAGTTTAACCGTTTACCTCTATGGCAGGCTGTGCGCGCAGTACGCGTTACGGTTTAAAGTTTGAAAGTTTTAGGGTTTATGTGTGTGGCACGCAGTGCGCGCAGCGCGCATTAGGGTTTAGGGTTTGGAAGTTTTATAGTTTATTGCATGCAGCGTGCACAGCGTGGGTTGAACTTTAGGGTTTCGAAGTTTTAGGGTTAACCTCCATGACACGATGGTTTAGGGTTTGGAGATTTTAAGGGGTACTTCTATGGCACACAGCGCGCGCAGCGCGCGTTAGGGTTTAGGGTTTGAAGGTTTTAGGGTTTATCTCTGGCACGCAGCGCGCACAGCACGCATTAGGGTTTAGGGTTTGGAAGTTTTAGGGTTTATTTTATTGCATGCAGCGCGCACACCGCGGGTTAAACTTTAGGGTTTGGAAGTTGCATAACACGATGGTTTAGGGTTTGGAAATTTTAGGGTTTACTTCTCTGGGACACAGCGCGCGCACCGCGCATTAGGGTTTAGGGTTTGGAAGTTTTAGGGTTTACTTTATTGCATGCAGCGCGCGCAGCGCGCATAGAGTTTAGGGTTTGGAAGTTTTAGGGTTTCAAGGGTTCCAAGGTTCCAGGGTACCAGGGTCCCACGGTTTCAGGGTTCCAAGGTTTCCAGGGTTCCAAGGGTTCCAAGGGTTCCAGGGTTTCAGGGTTCCAGGATCCCAGCAGGGTGCCAGGTGTGCAGGGTTGCAGGGTTCCAAGGTTCCAGGGTTCCAAGGTAGCAGGGTTCCAGAATCCTTGAGGGTTCCTGGGTGCCAAGGTTCCAAGGTTTCAGGGTTCCACGGTCGCAGGGTTCCAAGGTTCCAGGGTTTCAGGGTTCCAGGGTTCCGGGGTTCCAGGGTTCCAGGGTTCCGGGGTTCCAAGGTTTCAGGGTTCCAGGGTTCCAGGGTTCCAGGGTACCAGGGTCCCACGGTTTCAGGGTTCCAAGGTTTCCAGGGTTCCAAGGGTTCCAAGGGTTCCAGGGTTTCAGGGTTCCAGGATCCCAGCAGGGTGCCAGGTGTGCAGGGTTGCAGGGTTCCAAGGTTCCAGGGTTCCAAGGTAGCAGGGTTCCAGAATGCTTGAGGGTTCCTGGGTGCCAAGGTTCCAAGGTTCCAAGGTTTCAGGGTTCCACGGTCGCAGGTTTCCAAGGTTCCAGGGTTTCAGGGTTCCAGGGTTCCGGGGTTTCAGGGTTCAGGGTTCCAAGGTTTCAGGGTTCCAGGGTTCCAGGGTTCCAGGGTTCCGGGGTTCCAAGGTTTCAGGGTTCCAGGGTTCCAGGGTTCCATTCCGGATTTTGAAGGCTGCAAGTCCCCGCGAGCCAGCCCCAGCCCTAGAGATTGAAACCCAACAGGCCCTGCTGTTGGGAACAATGATTGGATGCGGCACATTTTTCATCCTCCGGGTGGATCTAGGGATTCCTCCAATTCCATGGGCCGGCCAATCCGCCAAGAGTTTCGACCACAGGGGTATGGTTAGAGCCGAGGAGCTTGCTGCGCCGGGAACCGACCAAGTGGAGCACCCGGACAACCATCAGCTGGCCAAGGCTGTTCCAGTCCACCTTCTAAGCTGCAAACCAAAAGCTGCGCAGATCCCAGATGGGAACACCTTTTCTGAGGATGCAGGCGTTATAAACCATGCCAAGATATGCCAACCAATGACAAGAACATTGATGACATACACCCCGAGAAGTACACTTGAGGCCAAAGGGAAGGGGGCGAAAACTAGTAGGGCAACGAAGAGGTGCAAGCACCGGAGACGCATTTTTCAAGCGGATGTCAGTCTGCAGCATATCTTTCTAATGGCATCTGACATTGTTTTGTTAAATCTCCTCCTACCCTAAGTCTGCAGAATTAACGCTCTGTTCGGCACGCGGGACCGACTGAAAAGGTGAGTTCAATGAACCGGCTTTTCCTGAATTCCACCACATCTTGCAATGAAACCGGACAATAGTATGACAATGAAGTACGAGACATCCTTCAAAAATAAAAAATTGAGTGCAGAGTTCACGGCCTGGTGCCAATATGTTTTACGATTTTTCCAATGCATTTGTCTAAACTACTGTGTCTGCCACGAAAAAGTGATACCAAATCATACGAAGTACTACACCTATTACGTAAAATTATTTCAGCAAACCTGAAGATCTAATATTCCAAAATACAACCTCTCTCAGGAAATCAGCGCCCGGATCTCCTAACAGCTCTGATAAACATATCTCTTGTATCGCGCCTATCACGGAAAACATTGGAAAAAAAACAAAATCTTACAAAACCCCCTCGTTTTGCTCACTTTTGACAAGGTCCACAAGCCCTTGCGTCTGTTACGCGAAACAATATCTAAACGTCCAAAAGTAATGCGAATATGTGGTGTTTTTACATTTTAACTTCGAATTGTGCTTCGCGTCACAATGACGCGCATTCTTTTGACGTCTCAACTTCCAAAAGTAGACCGAGCATAATGCATCTTATATATTTTGACTTCGAAATGTGCTTCGTACCACAACGGCGCACGTACTTTTTCGACATCTCAATTTCCAAAAATAGTCCGAATATGGTGTGTTTTATATATTTTAATTTCGAAATGTGCTTCGTCCCACAACGGCGTACACTTTTTCGACACCTCAACTTCAAAAAAAACCCGGACCTGGTATGTTTTATACATTATAATTTAGAAATGTGCTTCGCACCACAACGGCGGATATTTTCATTATCATCTGGCCAATTTAGCGAGCCTATTTTTCGACCCCTCGGAGCCACAAATTATTAGAAAAATATAATCTATCACGATTTTCCTACCTTTTCACGCACCTAGATTTTCTTTCTTCTAAAGCTTTCTCTTTTGTAATCTGTTTGTTCTTTTCTTCTTTTTTCTATTTTTCTGCTCCACCTCTGCTTTTCATATTTAAATCCTTAACACCAAAACCATTTCACCCTAAAATCTTCTTTTACCCTAAGATCCTTTAATCCTAAAATCCTTAAACCCTAAATCCTTTAACCCTAAAACCCTTTAACCCTAAAACCGTTTAACCCTAAAATTATTTAACCCTAAAATCTTTTAACCCTAAAACCCTTTCACCCTAAAACCCTTTAACCTTAAATTCCTTTAACCCTAAAATCATCCAACCCTAAAATCTTTTAACCCAAAAACCCTTTAACCCTAAAACCATTTAACCCTAAAATATTTCAACCCCAAAATCCTTTAATCCTACAAACGTTAATCGACCGGCTGAAAGTGAGGAGGTGCAGGCGGAGAAACTTGAGGCGCGGGGTGTAATATAGGAAAGGCCTGAGTTGCTTGAGTGCAGAGATATATACCTCAAAGAAGAATTTCCCAGAGACTCATTCTGTCGTGTGTTTGTCCAATCGCTGTCAGTGACTCGACTCTTTTCTTCATATATACTTGCAGTTACTTGCATCTACTTGCACGCAAATACACATCACGACATATCACGACACATACATCACATCACAACACATCACATTTGCATTACCTTACAAAAAGATTGCAGTTTGGGAAGCTTTTTTGGGTTTCCTCTGCTCCCTGTTTTCCTTGCTACTTGCAACGCATTGGATGTTCCATCTCTCATTTTGCGAGGTGTTTCCACTGTTTTTTGGCATTTGGTTTCTCGTTTTGCGCGGTATTTGCGATATTTTGGAACATGGACGTTGGATTTTGCATTTTGGAACTTCAACCTGTTGTTTGGCGCGAAATTTCCAGCATTTCACCCCCAAAATAACACAAACAATTGTGGTCTTCTTGTTGTTCTTGCGATCCTTTGCTGCTGTGGTTGTGGTTACCGTGCGTGTTTCTTGTGGTTCTGGTTGTTCTTGCTGCTCTTGCTGTTCTTGTTGTTCTTGTTGGTCTGTGGTTGTTGCTGTGCTTGTGGTAGTGGTTTTGGTTGCAGTTGTGGTTGGTGAACCGGAAATATGAACCGAACCAGACCGAATCGCTCCGATGCCACGTCGATCTTTTTTCAGACCTGAAAACAGGGTTTACCCTGCAGCAAATCAACATTACTATGGAAAATCACCATGTACAGAGGGCTCTCTATTTAGAAAACACTGGCTTTCTACGTAATTGCTTAGCAGGGTTTCAAAGGCTTTCAAATACGCAAACAAAACGCATATTCCCGACATATCCAGAAATTACGGCTACTAGTTGTTTTCTCTATATTTCTGTTTACGTTTCTTTTACGTAAGGGATAAAATAAGATCTTATTTGCCCAAAATACATCAAAATACCATGCCGCCGTTTGCCTTCTGACGCCTGCTGGCAGCGCCATTGCACATACGGTGGCACAAAGCTGCAGCCGCACGGTGTTAGCAAAGCTCCAAGGTTTGTCGTGAAGTGGATCAAGCAAACGAACAGAGGGGACATGTCCACAACATGATACAAAACGTCCTGGTTGTGGTGGGGGAGAATTTGGACCCATTTCAACAAGCTTCCTTGAAATGAACCTTCTAAAAATAAACCTAGGACGCGCTGGCAAACTGCAAGACATGACAACCACAGAGTGCTGCTCCTAAAAGTCTCTGCAGCATCTACTGGTGAAATTGCAAAATCAAACCTCTTCAACAACTTCAACCCAAAAAAGCTGTAAACGAGATATTGCAACATCTGAGCCCGAAATTTTTGGCAGCTCAGTCACTAACCAGAACCTTTCCAACCGGCAGAAACAAGAATATATCACAACTCCACTAGTTGCACCAACTTGGAAGGGATAAGCCCTTTACATCCCTTTACCAGTCCCAAAGATCGCCACATTCGCCCCTTTCGATTCCACGGCCTTTTCAACTCACTTGCAATTGCCTGCGAGATATCCCAGTCTGCGCTTGATTGCTTCAAAGCAATCTCGTTGGTCATACAGAGCCACCTGACAAGTGCACCGCACTTGACGGCTGATACACAACTGTCACTGTTTCAAGAGCATCTTTGGCTCACCTCAAGAACTGCTTGGTCGCTTCAAAACCGCAGTGGACGGCTGATACGTAACTGATCTCTTCAAGAGTCGAACTGGCATCTTCGGCTCTGTAGATTCTGTGCAAGCAAACATACATACTAGCATATGCATGGATTCCACGCTTGCACAGAGCGTGTATATGAGATGCAATTTGCTCACCCCTCATTTTATCACTCGCGCTTGAGCAAAATGCAGCCGCGAGAGGTGCAAACCAAGGATTGCGACGCCACGGTATTGTCGCCTCAGGTCCAAAATGCCAAACCTTGAGCTACATGAAAATTCCGGGGCCTCACAGCTATAGCATCAAAACACCTAGCCAAGTGCGCATTTAATATTGTCTTCAGTCTCAACCTGTCATTCGCTTGTGCAGCTGCTTCGCCTGCTCGTCTTCATTGTTTGTTTTTCTTGCGCTTTGCAAGAATAAATGCTAGGTCTTCCCTCCTGTTGGAGGGTGGTGTATGAACATATGGGGTTTGCTGGTTCTGTGTTGTGGTCTTGCCTTTCTTACTTGCACGCTTTTCGGTTTTCATCACTTTTGCTTTGCGCAGTTTCCGTCACAGCTCTGCTTCGGCGAATTTCTCTGCATTGTGTTTGCATTCTGCTTTCTGCTGTTTGGCAAGCCACCCGCATATGAGTGCAGCACCGCTGCCTTTTGAGCCTGTCTGTCTCCTGTTGTCTTCTAAGCTCGTTTGACAATTGTTCCCGTGCCTTTTGCCAGGGCGTTTTGATCCTACTTTCGCTGGACATGCTAGGGCTGTGTCGGCTACTTGGCGGCGCGCTTACATCAATGTGCAAAAAGCAGCAATTTGGGTTTAACTGCCTGGCTGGAGTTCTTGCCCAGAAAGCAGCAACGCTCAAACCAGGACGCGTGCCAATTCTCAATGCTTGGGACCATGGGCCGCCGATCGGACAATATTCACCGGGTTAGACAAGAACCTATTCCAAAGAAATGGGCAGCGATGGCAGCATGGTGCAAATACCTACTGAAAACCAATACTTGAAAAGGGGGAACGAAAGCCAGCTCTTATAATGAAAACCCCTGCGCACAGCAAATTGCCTGACCTTCAACATTGAAATCCCTAACTGCACACAAAGTTTTGAGGCAGACATCCTGAAACTCTGTTGGTGGCTTACGTATCTTCAATCTCTCGAGCAATTTTTTTTTCTCCATCTATTTGTTTCACTAGCCAGAAGCCGGACTGGGGGAACCGATACCCTATTGCAGTAAACTTTAAAACCTCCTCCGCGTAATACCCTCAAAATTGGAGTTCTTCTGTTGGAGCAAGCCCGTAAGCATCACGACTGAAAGCGTTAAACATCCTGCGCAGAACACCTTCAAAATTCGAGTTCTCTACTTGCAGCAAACCCGTAAGCATCACGACTGCGCGTACTCCAGGTCGCCTTCCTAAAACTCTGGTCAGCCGCGTATCTCTAGTCTCTTAAGCGAAATATCTAACTCCATCGATTTCTCTGACTGGCTAGTTAGCTCACACACGAAAATACAGACCGAGGGCATAACACCTTCAAAACCGGAGTCGTTAGAAGGAACACGCCGTTCTTGCCTTAACATAAGCTCAACAAGGCACGAATATGGCCCCAACATGGCATCTAAGAGCACAACATGGATCAACATAGGCCCAACATAGGCTCCATATATGCCCAACATGGTCCCGGCATGATCCAAAAACGATGTGTTCCTTTTGGGCCGGGTAGAGGCTAAAAAGGAACACGCCGTTCTTGGCTTAACATATGCTCAGCATGGCACGAATATGGCCCCAACTTGGCGCCTCAGAGCCCAACATGGATCAACATAGGCCCAACATAGGCTCCATATACGCCCGACATGGTCCCGACATGTCCCGATGGGATCCAAAAACGACGTGTTCCTTTTGGGTCGGGTAAAGGCTTAAAAAGAACACGCCAGTCTTGGCTTAACATATATGCTCAAGATGGCACGAACATGGCCCCAACATGGCGCCTAAGAGCGCAACATGGCCTAACATAGGCTCCATATACGCCCAACATGGCCCCGACAGGATCCAAAAACGACGTGTTCCTTTTGGGTCGGGTATAGGCTTAAAAGGAACACGCCGTTCTTGGCTTAACATATATGCTCAACATGGCACGAACATGGCCCCAACATGGCGTCTAAGAGCCCAACATGGACCAACATAAGCCAACATAGGTCCCACATAGGCCTAACACGGCTTAACATGACCGTGATCTAAACATGCAGACTCTAGATTTGGTTCTTGGCTCCATTGGTATGCCGCGCGATGATAGGGTTCTGTACTTCGCAAGAGTATCTGCCATGGCCCATTTCTTTTTCCGCGATCCCAGATGATCCCAGCTGTATCAACGACGTGACGGTCCACAGTATGCAAAAGATATCGCATGTGACATTGACACTAATCTGCCAAAAGCCCAACGGAAAGGTCCTGCTCTGCTACAGTTCTGTTAGACTCCAACATCTGCTTATCATTGCATCTGCAATCTTTTCTTGACAAAGTATGAAATCTGTTAAGTATGCGTTCTTCAAGGCCGGCTTTGATTCTGCCGCTTCTCCTTAGCATTACACCTGTCATGCTCATTGTTCTCACCATATGCCAACGCCTTTAACCACTTGTCCATGTCTCCTTTTCACATCTAGCTCTCTAGCTGTCATCCGCTGGTAGCCAAAGAGAGATGACGTGACGGTCCACTTTCCGCACACCACTTTGCATTTGCCGTTGTCTCTAGAAGCGCAGCCTGGATAGTAGCCGCCCGTCTCTGCCGTCCTTTCTCCCATTCAAAATCTGCAAGCAAAACTACCAACTGCCAGCGCTAGACACAGTCTCCCAAGCAGGAAGAACGGCATAGCTCTATGTCAGCTTGTCATTGCAGTTTGCTGCCGACAAAGTTTCCATGACCTCAATCCATCTAGCTATCTATCTAAATCAACCTATCTAACTATCTATCAACCTATCTGTCCAGCCCTCCGTCAATCCATCCATGTATCAACCTAGCTTTCACTCACTCTCTCTCTCTCTCGCTCTCTCTCTCTCTCTCTCTCCCCCTCTCTCCCTCCATGCCCCCATCTCTGCATCTATGTAGCTATGCGCGATCTATCCGCCCATCCATCCACCAATGTCCAGCCAGCCAGCCGTCGCGATCGTTCTATCGTTCTATCTATCTATCTATCCATCTATCTATCTATCTGTCTATCTATCTATCTATCTATCTGACTATCTATCTGTCTATCTATCTATCTGTCTGTCTATCTGTCTATCTCTCTATCTCTCTATCTATCTCTCTATCTATCTATCTATCCATCCATCTATCTATCTACCTATCCACCTATTTACCCATCTATCTATCTATCTTTCTATCTTTCTTTCTATCTTTCTATCTATCTACCTACCTATCTACCTACCTATCTCTCTCTCTCTCTCTCTCTACCTCTCTACCTCAGCTGTCATCCAGCTATCGATAAATTCCCTCTCTCGTTCTAATCTCCATCCACCTAGTATCTGCTTATCTATTAATCTATTTGTCTACTTATTTAGCCCTAGTATTTGTCTACCTATTTCAACCCAATATCACGGACCAGGGGGGAATCGATACCCACCGTCACCCATTTGCGGCCTGGTACATTACCCTGCAAAAAAAAAGCCAATTTGACACCCTGAACAGCAACTGAGACTGGAAAAACGGACCTGTTTGGCAACACCTCCCCCCCAGACCCCTAATCTCTCACTACGTTCGCCAAAACCGCTAGCCAGCTTGTCCGGCTGGCTTTCGTAGTACAGCGCGCCCAACGTTGCGACACAAATCAAAAGACCACGGCGCAGCTACATGGAACTATTCTTTTGATTCTTGCGTGATGGGAGCGAAATCGTTGCCTCATTTTGGCGTGTATTCGTTTACCTCCACGCTGTTTCAATGTTTGTTCCCCAGGCAGCTGGCAAGCTCAAGGGGTTCTTACTTCTCATAGGTCAAGTCTTCCTGCTCCACAGGGTGCCGTGCAGAGTGCTGCAGAGTGCGGTGGCCAAGTCTGGTAAGGGTGCTGTGCAGGCTGCTGTCCAGGCTGCTGGGGTGCTGCGCTGCTGCTCCAGGGTGCGGTGGCGAAGTTTGGCAAGGAAGCTGTGTTGGGCGGTGTGCAAGGTGCTGTCCAAGGTGCTGTCATGGCAAAGTTTGGCAAAGTTGCTGTGCTGGGCACGGTGTCGAAATTTGGCAGCGATGCTGCGTGGGTTGCTGTGCACGGATGGAGGGTGCTGCGCACGCTGCTGTGCAGGCTGCAGGGTGCTACGCAGAGTGCAGTTGAGGGCGCGGTGGCAAAGCTTGGCAATGTTGCTGTGATGGTTAAGGTGCTGTGCAGGGTGCTGTGCAGGGAACTTTCCACCGTGTTGTCCGGGGTCTCCAGAGTGCAGTGGCGAAGTTTGGCAAGGGTGCTGTGCAAAGCAATCCGCTTACCGTGTTGTGTTTCGAAGAACTGCGGGTTCCCAAAGGTTAGAACTCATGCTCCCGCAACCTTGGAACCTTGGGTTCCCATGGAACCAAATGTTCCAATGTTGAGCAATTGCAGGTTCCCAAGCATTGAGAACCTACGCTTCCCAACTTAGGAACTGCGGGTTCCCACTTCGAGGTTCCTATTTCGAGGAACTGTGGGTTTCGGAAGGTTGGGACCCATGCTTCCCAATGTTTGAACTACGGGTTCCAATTTCAAGATTCGTATATTGAAAGGTCAAACTTCATCAATTTTGCCCCCTCGATCTTACGATACAAGGTTTCCTCCAGAAGCTTGTCATTGGGTCGGTTGGAGGCTTCCAAGTTGCTAATTGCTTCATTCCAACTGCACTGAGATGTTTATCTGGGATGACACGCACAAATAGAAGTGATTTTTTCACATGCGAAGTTCATTCATTTGACATTTCAGACTTTGGGCGAATCTCATAGCCCTTTTGTGCTCCAGAGAAAAACTGCTGCATGTGGAGTACTGTGGTGGCCTTACCCAATTGTGGGTTATGAGCCCAAGGCATGCCGCTGTGCCTGAAGGTGGCTCCAGTGCAGCTGCAGAAGGTCAACGAGCCCTACGGCTGATGGATAGGCCTGGAGGGCCACCAACAATGGACCCATGCCTAAGGAGAATGATCGGCAGGTGGACGTGAACCCGTTCTGGTAGGAGAAGGCTCAGAACGAGGCAGTGCTCCGATCGCTGAGACGTCGAGAACTACCAGCGTCTTCATCTGCACGGTCACCCCATGGACTCCAGGACGGGAATGGGGGGATGGACCCAAGACAAGTGTTAGCGATGTTGCTTCCGCAGAATGCACAGCTGAAGCAAGAACTGTCAGAACTGAAGGGACAGGTAGCAGCTCAGGCAACAGCGGTCACAGAGAGGGTTTTGGATAAAGTAGAAGGGAGAAAGAAGGACGGACCTATGGAACCTCCTTTACAACTGCTGGGTCACAAACCACCAGCCCTTGAAGACATGAAATCAAAGGAAAATCTGAAGAGTTTTATAGGACCGGGGAATGACTGGAGAACCCCCCCTGAATCGGTGTCAGCAAAGAAGTCTTTAGGAATCAGTGCAAACACCGCCAATTCGAGTGGGACCCCAGGTGATGGACAGCCTGTCTCAGGTGCGGCAGGAACCAGGATCCGAACATGTCCTGTCAGGTTCTGGGACAGGTGGCGCAGACTCTCAGCTGTCAGCAGCCGCAGTCATCTGGAGGGGCCCAAGGTCAAGGAAAAGACCTTTGTGGAGGACCAGGGCATGGTCTACAACCTAAGGAAGCTGCACGTGATCCACCTGGTGGCCAACTTGCCTAAACGTCACTGGAGCAGGGAGCTCTACGTGCACCTGAACCTGGAGGGCAAGCCATTGCATTCGTGAAGCAGTCATTGGAGACTGGTTGGCATTGATCTCGCTGGCAAACCGCAGTTCGAGTGGCGACACCGGATCCAATGCTGCTCATGGGTGCCTTGGACACGATGGGTGCGGTGGTGACCAGGACATCGCCGCAAGCACCTTTCAGACTGAACTCGACGGGGGCTCAGCTGATGGTCGACGTGAACCCGACCCTGGGCAGAGTCACCAACTACGCAGACTCCATCTGAAGGGCTGAATCATGGAGGAGTTCCTGTACCCACCACGGCCAAAATCAAGGCGATGGATGGAGGGAGTGTGGAGACCCCGACAAAGGGTGATGGAAAAGGAAAAGGCGAAGAACGGTCTGGAAAAGAACCAGCCCGCAAGTTCTTTGGCACGGACGATGGATGCAAAAGTTGCACCTACAACCATGACTGGGCGCTGTTGGATGAAAGGGCCCACCTCGCTGCTGTAGCTCGACGAAGTACTCACGGATGGTTTGCACGGTCAAGGCTTTGACTAGCAGTGGAGTGAGCTCCGGAGATCAAGGTGGAAAGGGTAAGAAGGGTGGAGAAAAAGGAAAGACCGATTCCCCCCCTAGCCTTAAGAAGACTGAGAAGAACGTGGAGCCTGAGAAGCCAAAGGAGACTTCTGAAGACTTCCGTGGAACATCATCTACAACGACAGCTGATGGAGATCAAGCCAAAGAAGTGGCACAACCAGCCAAGGAGCTCATGATGGAGGCAGCTTCCTTGTTGAAATCGCTGAGGCTACCTTCATTGAAGTCGATGAGAATCAGTTCATTGGAGGAAAGAGCGGTGGACGGGCTCTTCTTGATGAGGAGCCACCAACGCCTTGAGAACGGCATCTGGTCCCAAGGAATGGGAAGCGGGAATCGAAGTCAAGGTCGAGTTGGCTCAGGGACATACATTTTTGAAGCAAGTTCCATGGACTGGCACCCTGCTATCGGAATCACCGGTTCAGCCCATTTGTGCCATTGGGTGTCCTGGTGGAGATTGGCTATGCAGTGAGATGGGAAGGGCAGAACTTCGAGCTGACGGATCGAGCTGGGTGCATCGTGGACGCCAAGCTTGAGGGCTCATGTCCGACTGTGGATGAAGAGCTCGGTTTGGAGCTGATCAAGGAGATCGAGACCTACCACCTGGAAAAGAGGGCTCGACTGGCAGTCTTGACAGGATTAAGGGAACATCGGGAACTTGGACAGTGGCTTCGTCAAGGAGCTGGAAGAGTTGAGGAAGATGTTCCCAGAAATCACGTCTGAGCTATCCATTTGTTCAGTGGCAAGGATGCCAACTTCTGGAAGAAGGAGCTTGAGGATCATCGACGAGCAGTCTTGTGCTTGGACACGGAGCTGGACCTTCGACAAGATCTGCATCGAGGTGACATCATGGAGTTCCTACTGGATCTGGCTGACAGTGGTCGAGCAGTGGCATGGATAGGTGGACCTCCATGTCGCGCTATGTCCAGGTTGAGGTACAAACAGCCTGGACCGCCACCACTTCGGTCCCGTTTTGGTTGGACATCAACGATTTGGATTGGATGGCCTCAGTGACAACCTCAAGGCCCTTGTGGAGAAGGACGCCCTCTTGTGGTTGAGGCACTACTACCTCTTTCATCGATCAAAGAGGGTGGCTTCAAGGAGGGTGATCTACCTCTCGGAACAGCCCGGGGACCCTGAGCACTACATCAAGGACGAGATCAAGAAGGAAGGACAGATTCCCACCTGCTGGTCGTTTCCAGAGTGGAAGCACATCAGAGACATGGGCCCACTCGGACACCCCAAGAGGAAGCCGACAACCCTGGGAACGAATCTATATCAACTTCGAGAGCTTCGCAATCTTCGAGGCCCTGGCACTATATGAAGGCGGATTCAACAATCCCGCTCCTGGGCAGCCTGATTGAGGTGGGAGCTCGATGGAGTAGGATGTCGCTAAGTGATTGGAAGCGACATGTGGCGAACGATCACCCTGCAACGTTTCTGTCGAGGATGCCGAAATTTGCGGTCAATCGAGACCTCATCGAAAAGTGGTGACGGCGGACAGCTACATCAGCATCGACTTGGCCGGTCCCTACAAGAAGGGAGAAGATCAACTTGGAGAAGGTCGTTACATGCTGGTGGGTGTCTATACCATTCCGGTCGCCAAGGATGGAAGACCGCCCAACTTGAAAGAGGAGCCTGATCGATGCCCCGCGGATCGTTGCCGGAATCCTGGAAGAGAGGGCTACGGATCTGCGATCGCGGGCGAGCCTCAGGTCAATCCAGCTTGGGGATCGCTGCCGGAACCCTGGAGGAGAGGGGTACGGATCTGCGAATATCTGCGATCGCGGCGCCTCAGGCTGATGGCCCTGCGGATCGCTGCCCGAACCCTGGAGGAGAGGGATACGGATCTGCGATCGCGGGTGAGCCTGGGATCGATGGTGGCCCTGGATCGCTGCCAGAGCACAGGCAGCGGCTTGAGACATGGAGAGCCAGCTGCCCAAACCATCGAAGGTGGAATCTTTGGAGGTGAAGAACAGCATCCACGACCCTCTGAGGAGAAGGAGCCGGAAGAAGGAGGATCAGAAGATCCACTGGAGCTGCAGGTGGATGACTCTGCAGAATCCCCCAAGGATGAAACAGAAGACGGCGATGAGAAATGGAAGGCTCTCATTGAGAGAGAGGAGAACTTCGTCATCAAGCAGCTTACCTTCATGGAGATCTTGCCGGGTCGACGTGGAGCATCAATTTTGGAAGGAGCGTCACGGATCTACAATCGCCTCAGGTATCTCAATCTACCTCTACGACGACTTCATAGTGATCGAGCTGGAGAACTCCGATCGAAGAGCCTGAGAAAATGGACCCTTGACAGGGGTATTCTGAGGACCTACACCGGAGGTGATGACTACAAGACCAATGGTCGAGCTGAGGCGGAAGTCAACATGCTCAACCCTCTGTCTCGAATCTTTGTAAATTTACATTTTGCCTTGATTTACGTAAATAGAAAATTTTACGTACATATTTACGTAAATTGGCTCGGAACCTAAATTTTTACTCTGCAACCTAAAATTCAACATTTTCTATTTTTATGTATATGTTTCAAGGTTTTTTGCTATGCTCTACTTGAGGTGCTCATTTTTGTTTCAATATTTTTTGTGCATTTTTTTGCAAATTGCGTCTATGTGTTTTTTCAAACACAAGTAAAGTCCATCTATCTCTCATCATCCCTTCTTTTCTCAAATGAGTATGGGGATATCTCACAAAAAGATGTTTTTTTTCAAAGATAGGTCAGGTCCTTAAATCAAAGGTGCCTTAAGGGAGCTGATGTGGTATCTTTTTTTGGGGGAAGTTGAAGGAAGTACAATTTATATGGTATATTTTTTGGGGGGGAAGCTGAAGGAATTAAAATTTCATCTATCAAACATATCTTCTATTTTTGGAAAGTAAAGATCTTGAACACTGCTTTGCTTTGGCCCTTTTTTCAGGAAGCATCCCTAGAGGTACTTCCCAAACAACCTTACATTGGAAAGGAATTCCTTTTGGAAGCTTACATGAGGTATAAGTGGAGATACCTTATACTTATCAGGAACTACTTGTGGCAGTTTATATACAAGAATATATGTAGATGACTTCCAACCAACATTTCCTTTGAAGGAATCTTCCTTTGGAAGTTTGCACAAGGTACCTGTGGAGATACCTTACATACATGCCAGAGATTTACTTTTGGAAGTTTACATGAGATATCTATGAACATACTTTTGAATTGAAGTTTGCTGGATGAAATTTACTTTTGGAAGTTTTCAGAATGTTGGTGCAGGCAAAGACACATAGTGATTCAAGTGCCAAATGCTATTGGAAAAATGTATGTGGAAAATCCAAAACTGTTTCAAGTATCCTCAGGTATTTGCCTGCAAGAAAGGATCATGTTTCAAATGTTCGGGGTGCTTGATTTTACTTGACACTGCATTCAACTAACTTTATTTGAGACTCTATTCAACTGACATTACTTAAGGCTGCACCCACTTGGCTTTACATGGGGCTGCACATTCAACTGACTTTATTTGAGAGTGCATCCAATAAGTTTTCTTTGAAACTGACTGCCTGTCAATTTACCTGATGCTCCTTTCCAAGAAAATTCCCTGAGATTGCATTGATTTATTTTTGCTCCAGTCACCTGGGAATCAGTCAGACTGAGGAGTATCTACAAAATCTGGAAGGACCCCTACTCATATTTCTATGAAATTCTGACCAAATCAGTTCAAACCTCTTATGCACTTTTGACGCACTTTTGATGCACTTTCAAACAGTTCATGAACTTTTAGCAAAAGTTCATGAACTTTTGCTAAAAGTTCATGAACTTTTTGAAAGTGCATCAAAAGCGCATCAAAAGTGCATCAAAAGTGCATGAAAAATGCATCAAAAGTGCACCAAAAGTGCATCAAAAGTGCATCAAATATTTGGCACTTTTCTTACTTGAGATTTACATGTGATGTTCTTGGATTTGTACAGATGCTTACTTGTGAACACAAAAAGACGTTATTATTGTTTTGCTTAAAACATCTTTACTTGAGATTTACATGTGATGTTCTTGGATCTGTACAGATGCTTCCCATGACATTAGTCAAGACTGCCTTGAACTAACCAACTAAATTTGCAAGACATTTGGCCAAACAATGAGTCAAGAGTTATTCATCACTTTGTTGACCAGAGATATTTCAACAGTTAAACTAATTTGGAAACTCACCTCTGGAAATGAACCAATAGTGCACAGCTTCAACCATTTCATCCTAGTTTGTCAACTTACATGTGCTTACTTGAGGTGACTAATATAGATCATGATCCTAGCCTGCCATAAACCATGAAGACACTGCAAACACAATTAAAAGCAACTATTGAGTAATTCACAAGTAAGCCACAAGTCAAACTGAATCCACAAGTAATACACAAGTCACAGGTATGTCTCAATGACTCAAGTAAGATGGAAAACATAACTCATGCAGTTGAGGAATGCCACAGGTAACATTCACAAGTAAGTCTCAAGTAAGCCTTGAGTGAATGTCAAGGCTACCAACATCCCCTACCAGTACAAGTAAAACAAAGTAAACCATAAAGCTTCAGCAATCCACCATCAAGTGTGCTGTTTTCTCCAGCTGTCAGATAGGTTCACCTACAGCATCAACAAGTAATCGTACTTAGTAGCAAGTTCTTGGCATGTCTCAAGTAAATTTCTGGCCCAGTACACCCAAGTAAAAACAAACCAACATAGCTCACTCAAGTAGCACTCCACACAGGTAATGAATCATCACAAGTACAAATTGTCTATGTCCACAGGTAAACAAATACAACATAGTTCACTCAAGTAACACTCCACAGACTTCAAAAAGGCAAACAGCATGCAACATGCATCAATGCACCTTTCAAATTTTGTTGAAAAAACCTTTCAAAAAGTTTACTCATATGAGTCAAATGAGTAAAAAAAATTAGGTAAAAAATTAGGCAAAAATTTAGGTAAATATTTACGTAAATTTCAACCTATTTTTTTACAGTAAAAGTAAATATTTACGTAAATTCTTGCCTATGTAAATTTACAAAGATTCGAGACAGAGGGAAGAAGGCGACCAGGACATTGCTCAAGAGCTCGGGAGTCGCCAACACCATGTGTTCCTTGGCAGCCGGGCATGGAGCTGAACGACGGTTTCGAGATCAACTTGGAAGCTCGGGTCTTCCAATGAAGACCCTGCTCCCGTTTGGAGCCACTGGCTATGCTAAGCAGAGGATCTGGGAAGAGAAGTACCATGCAGGACTGGAAGCTCACCAGAAAGAAGGTGATGATCTATGGACCAGACATTTCAATGTCAGCGTCAATGACCGGCTACTTCGTCCAGGACGACACTGGGAAGTTCTTCCATACCGCGGACGTCATCCAGCCAGAAACACAGCCAGAAGAACTTTCACTTCCAGACGTCAACCTGGGTGAGATGCGAGAGCCTGGAAAGAGCATGAGAATTCACGGGAAATCCACGGTGATGGGCAGCCTACAAGTGCCTACTGAAGGAAGCAGAACGAAGGCGCATCCGTGGACTTCATCTCTTGATGGAAGAGCTGGACCTTCAAGACACTATGATGACAACTTCACTGAGCCATCCATGGAGGAGGAACAGACTGGAGCTGATCGATTTGTCCGCTCTCTGCTGATGGACGTGGAGGGATTGGCCGGAGGTTTGATGGAGGAAGAGAAAGCTCAGGCCAGTCTGGAAGCTGAGAAGCTGATGAAGGAGGCCGAGGACCAAGGGGTCTTTCTTCAAACGTGGACGACGTCTTGGCCATTGGAAAGCCGGAAGTTTTGGACGGCTTCTGCGCCCGAATGGCTGAGGAGTGGGAAGTCGGAGCTCCGGAGTGGATCGAAAATGGAGGTGCACCTGTGAAATTCTTCGGAATGGAAATTGAGAAGAAGCTGGACACCTACTACGTCCACCGGAAGAGCTACCTAGCAGATCTCCTTGGCAGGTATCCTGGAGAAGGAGGTGGAAGCCTTGGGAACATCAAGGTGCCGCACGAAGAGGAGGACCCTAGCCCTCAAGAGGTGCAGAAGGCCCAGAAAGAAACAGGAGAACTGCTGTGGATAGCAGGACGCACGAGACCAGATATCTCCTATGGGGTGATCCGGGTGAGCATCATGGGTCAGTATGCGGCTAAACGCCCAAGAGGAGTTCAGAAGATTGGAAAGGAGCCCAGGCAGTATCTGAGGGAAACTCAGGACTTGATGCTCGAGTATGCCCTCTTCAAGATGGCGGCGAAGAAGGAGCTCAGCGGCAGACGAGGCATGCTGATCTGATCGAGGTGCACACCGATGCCAGCTTCGCTTCAAATGGGCTTCGAAGCATGAGCGGAGTGGTCGGATTCTACGCTGGAGCGCCAGTGTTCTGGTTGACATGCCGGCAGAGCTTCATCACTCTGTCGACCGCCGAGGGCGAGCTGATGGCGCTGTTGGAAGGCCTGACGGCATCGAGATGCATCAGATCCCTGGTGGAGATGCTTAGTTAAGAGAGGCAGATATTTCAATAGCCATTGGGACGACGGGACCATGGAGAACCCGACATCTCAGGATTCGAGCTCAGGGACTACATGAGGCCCTGGTGGAAGGTGAAGTGTCGTTGGAACATCTTCCTGGTCAGTGGCTTGTGGCTGATGGGCTGACTAAGCAGCTTAGCGGTGACCACTTCAAAGGTTTGTCACCGCTCTGAAGCTGGTGCAGGACCGAAAATCCGTCATCCAGCTCAGTTCCATGAAGACCAGCGGTGGTGACAGAGCTATGGTCACAAGGCCGCAGGACAGTTTGAGCCTATTGGTCGTGGGATCCACTTTGATGATGACACCAGTGGAGGCATCGGAGGGACTCACCACTGAGGATGGGGATGGTGGATTTGGAATGTTCCTCACCATCTTGGTGATTGCGGTGCATGGATCTACACGAGGGAAGAGCTCAAGGTGAAACTCTTGGATGAGGCGGCCTCTCTTCCATCAAGGAGTACATCAGGATTGGCGGAATTGGATCTCTGCTCCATTGCCGACTACAAGATTGCCCTCGGAGATTACCAGCTGGTGAAGACTGGTATTGCCGTGGAGTTGCCACCAGAAACTACGGGCGATTGGTCTCTCGGTCTGGCCTGACATCTCATGGAAATTGAGGTGAGCGCTGGGGTGATTGATCGAGATTTCGGAGGTGAAGCCAAAGTGCTACTTCGCAATCTTTCCGGCCGTGAATTTTGGATGCGACGAGGAGATCGAATCGCGCAACTCATTGTCTTCCAGAGGACGGAGAGGCTTCGGAAGTACTGGTCTAGAGCGGGCCAGTGAGGAGACCTTCCTTCCATCGAGACCAGTCAGAAAGATGGGATGGACACTCAGCCGTTGACAGGGGGGAGCTCCGCTACCAGAATCCAGAGTGGGGGGAGCACCGATGACTACTGTCACGAGAGGTCTATATACGCAATTTCTATTCTGCTTATATAATGGGCGGGGAAAACGCGGTACTTCTAGAGAACAGGAGCCCTAGGTTTCTCTGAGGCCTTTTCTATCTGGGGTCTACGGTGTAATTTTTTTTCCCTCTTGCTTGCATAGGTTCCGCTTCCTGCTGTTGTTGACCGTCTCAACGCTGCGCTTCATATGCTCAACTGCCCCCATGCTTTCCACATACGAGATATTTCAATGAGATTATCGCTGCTTCTGTTGCTCCCGTGGTATGTCACTTCTTCAAGCTTCCAAATCTTCCAACAATAATTGCGCGCCCCGAACTCTAACATGAGACGCTGGAAGCCCTGAACCCACATAACTCCGAATTATCTGAGTCTCCAGCAGTACGGAATGGTTTGATGCGACACCAAGCGCCAGGAACCACTTTCCTTCAATTCAACACATCGGGTAAAGATCCGAAGCATTGCAAAACATTCCAGCTGTCAAGGCCAAAGGCAAACATGAAGTGACATGAAGAGGCTCAAGCCACATGCGCATAAGCACTTAATCACGCTTGGCGCCAACCTCCAGCTTCAAGCGCTTGGTCGCTAACAAGGTTCCTGTCTGAAAAGCGAGACGTGTAAGGAAGTCCCCTGTTGCTTTCTTCATCCCACTGTCTTTGGTTGGTGTGAAGCGGTATGAGGCTGAACCTAAACTTGAACAGTGCGTTCATCAGAATGCCGGCCCAAAGCATCATTTGAGGAGGCTCTGAATCTGCGAGCCTTTGCCGCCAGGGCCGCCGTCATTGAACAAACTCCCCTCGCCGGCACAAACCTACATCACGAGACCAAACCACGCAAAAATGATCAAAATGGGAAAGCAAACCGAGCAGTCAGACAATTCATGCCCACGTCACGTAGGCCAACAAAGCATGGTCAAGTCATGTATAAAAATTCCTTTCTGCATAGTCTGAACAGCTGCAGTACAATGTGTCCTTCAAATTTCACCCCACATCAGAAAGCACCTCGATTGAAGTCACCATAGCTTCGCTCTTTCCAAGTCGAACAACATCCACATCAACTACGTCAAGGACTGCTGCCTGAGAGCCAATGTGGGAAAGGGCCTTGGAATGCTGCAGTTGGCAACATTTGCGCTTGGCTTCATACTGCAGCTTGTTCACAATTTGACACACCCCAGCCTTGTCACTCAAGACCTCCTCCCAGGAAACTCGTGGCCTAGAATCTTTTTCCTCACCAGCCTCCTGTATTGCAAGAGGTTCTGGGGAACCTTTTTGGGCTGCCCAAAAAGGAATGAATGTGAGGGAAAGCACCAATGCACCTCCTTAACGTTCTATCGTTTGTCTATCTGTGTAATCTTCAAGCTTGAATTTTTTGATATGAAACGAGCCAAAGAACTCTCCTAAACCAAACTCTAGCTCAAGACTAGTCTGCCAAACGGCACATTGCCAAACATGGGGTCATAGCAGGCGGCAAAAATGCAGCGGCGTGCTTGTTTGCAGGCTGGTGGTCTTTGATCCGACGGGGGAACACCCAAGATGTGAACTTGTATAGAGCTTCCCACATTGCAGCACCTCCCATAGCGTCCGCATTAGCGGTGCGTCTCCACTTTTCAGCGCCACATAAAAGTCATCATGCACCTTGAGAATTTCTACCTGCCAGGTGGGTGCGACTGTGAAAGCCACAGAACGATTGTGGGGGACAGCCGTTGCACAGCAGCCAGTGAACATCATTGTATCGTTGTAATCTAAATTTGAATAGATGCGTGATGCGTGTTGATATATATAAGGTGCATGCAAAATATATAATGCGCATTTTGGGGTGGGTGAGGATGTTATTGGATACGTGGTTCTGAGACGGCAATGTGCTTACCGCAGCTTCGGCACTTTTGCTAACAATCATCGCTTTACATTGCCAAAGCCTGCAGCCTCTTCCGGCCACGTGCAGCAAAGCGGCTTCTTTTTCGGATTCTTGGGCTCGCTGCGGCAAGAGAGATAGATTTTGACCAACACCTACGAAAGCGAGGATCTGATCGAAGTCTCTTCCTGCACGCCCAAGCATTTAAATCTGACAGCACACCTATTTGTCAGCCACCGTTGGGAAGTAACTTCGGTTACAATCAGCACAGCTCTAGAAGAGACCAGCCTCTGAAGGATTCCAGCACAAAAGACGGTAAGACAACCCAAGTCACTCGTAAAACTGCACACATACCCTTACAGGTTTGCTGGCAAGCAAAAGAAATAAACTGTGAAAGTCCGACGGGTTTCAAACCTCTCCCAGAAGCGCCTGAACTTTGGCCGCGTAGCCGCCCGCTACGTCCGAACAGCAGCCAGGAGGTTGAGCTTGGCTCCTGGCCTGAGAATCTGAGCGCGGTAACTGAATTGACATGAACTGTGTGGCTTCAGTGGTACACTCGTCGATGCCACCGGCGCAAGGGCTCCGCGCCTGATACATCTTGCCAAGCTGCGTAGCACCTTGACCATGCCTCTAGCGGAGCGCCGTTGCAGTAGTTCAACAGTGTCCGGAAAATGCCCCTACCCTTGCACGCCCAAAAAGCCTGCCCCCATACGGCCAATGAAGGATGTACGGAAATAATGTTGCTGTCGATCTTCTGCAGGCAGCACACTGAATCTGCATTTTTGATAGGAACTTTGATCTTTTATCCTTGAGGGCATAAGATTGCATGTATTTTACATATAGCTATATGATATTTTCAAACATAGATGCAAATTATCATCCATGTAATCTGCGATACAATTATGTGACGTTATATGATTCTGCCACAGAAAAAAAGAGACACGTTTTGATAAGAGATGAAAAACGCCAGAGCAAGAGATACAGGCGATCAAAAGGCACCAGCGTGCCAGATGCGTCCAAGTTGCCTCTGGGTTTTGGGCTCGTGCTAGCCAACGGCCACCCCCTCCTTGGACTTCACCCGCTGCAACCACCAAAACTTTTGATGTCAACCAACCTTGAGTTTCAACGCATGGCAAGTTGGAGTTGCATGAAAAACTTGAGCAATGAGGGAAACATGCAAGAACCCCACGACCGACAAAACATGAGCATGAGCTGCAAAGGTCGGACAGCCACAAAAAGCGCTGACCCGCGACTGAAGGCCGAGAACTGATGGCCGCCTGGGGAGATCACGATGTCCGATTAAATCTTTACAATAGATGCTGACGCTGACGTGAGCAGCGAGCCGGCACGGATCTAAAGATCAGAAACAGTGTGCACGCTCAAAATGTTCATGGCACCAATGACAATCATCATGACGATTGTGATGATCATGATTATATGACCATCAGGACAACATGACGATGACAGTAATCTCATTTTGGGAGCGGCTGCTCCAAAAGGGCTATCACTCAAAGTGCACGAAACCGTTCAAGGTTGTCCACAGTTGCCCCGAAGGCTTTAGTTTTACGTAATGATTTCTCAGAGACCAAAGAGATGGATGGCCAAATGGCTAGCTTGCTGCTTTGATTTCTAAGGGCCTAGGCCCCAAAGGTTGCATCCATGTTCCTTCGGCGGGTGTCAAAAGGAACCTACCCTTAGTTGGCCCCCTCAGCACAATGGCAGCGCAGCTAGATCAGCTAGTATGCAAGCTGGTAGCGTCGGCGGTATGCTTCTGCCAACAGAAGGCTCTCGTGTAGTTTTTCCTTTGGCAAGTTCAGCAAACATGTCCTCACTCTTCTGAATGCGTGCCGGTTGTAACTGGCTTAAATGTGTGCTAAAACATGCACATCTGCAATGCCGTACTTCGCTTGCTGCCCTGCATCTTGGTCTCAATCAATCAGGCGGTGCGCCTTGTCAGACGCAAAGAGAACGAGAACACGTCTATCTTTTGCAAGCTCCGACAGCTTCCTGCCAGTGAGTGGAGACACGATTGTGAGCAGGCCGAACACTGGAAGTAGAATCAACCGAAGCAAAGGAATGCCTGAAGAGATGAGGATTTGACTTCTTTGGGCATGCGAGGCTTTGGAAGCGAAGCAAAAGGATGGAAGAGGTACGGGGAATGCGAAGGAATGCGAAGGAATGTGAAGGAATGGGAAGGAATGCGAAGGAATGCAACAAAGAATATGGGGAGGTCAGTGTTATCAAATGTTAGACTGTTAGCCACATCGTGAAACTGAAACATTGTGGAAACATGAGCTGACACAGTTTGCGGAGGTTGCGCCTTTCCAGGGAGGTGCCATCCATAAGCACAAGCTTCAGGCCGCCAAACGCAAGCTCTGCGTCCAGCGCTCGTAGATTGCGAGTGCGGGCTGGCAGTTACAGTGCAAACGACAAACGCAAGTCCCAAGGAAACAATCCAAGAGTCCAAGATAATACAAGTCAGTAAATGTCAGCAACAGTCAATAACTTACTTGCAGCGCAGTGAAACAAGACTGCCGGGATCAAAAAAACAAATCCAGATGGCACGGTCTGGTGGTTTTGGAATATGAATTAATTGCTGCGCGCGGCATCGCCTTTCGTAAGATTGGCGAAAGACAGCATCCCTGCGACAACTGCAAAGCCTTCGCCGAAGACAACCTGTGTCTCATCAAGGCCTGGTTTGGCCCCTGGTGTGGTGAGCAATGCCAGCTGCCCCAAACCATTGTAGACCTTACGACATGATGATGGTGCATCGCAAAACTGCCCGCAAACCCCACCCTCTGTGTTGAGGGTTCACTTGGGAATTTCCCGAAACGCATGGATTATATATGGGGCGGAATCATATAGAAGAAACATGGTCGGATTCACCACCCCTGATAGCCCCTGATGATTGCTGTTTCTATTCCCCGCCAAGGTCTAAAAGCCCTTTGGAATGCTTAAATGCTTTGTTTTGGTTGGTATTTTCAGGAAGGTCTTGGCCCAGTGTCGTGCTTGTGGGGAGATCTTCCCCCCCACATCACGATTAGGTGTCTTGTTCCTTAGCGGGGGTGTCGCGCCATTCCCGCGGGCTGGTCGCCGTAGCTCCAGCCTTTCTTTTGCGACTTCCCCAGGAAGCGGCTCCCCTCAAGAGCCCCCAGGAGCCCTATGATCCATGGACGGTGCTGCTGTACCTACGTGACAATCCGGCTGTGCATGCCCAACTTTCTTCAAGGGACATTGAAGGTCAGCTTGCTGAGATTGCGGGGGTCTTGAGCCTTCCACGTCATGAGATTGTCCACACCTACAGGGCCAATGTGGCACTACCTGACTTGTCAGCACCTTACGCCGCTGATTATCCATCACATCGATGAATTTGTCCCAGGAGAAGCAGCGTGCTTATGTCTGATTCATGTTGAAATCCATGGCAACCGCCGTGAATTGAACCATGCCGCTTTCCCAGCCATTGATCGCAGGGTGGTTGTGATACCACAACGTCTGGCTCGACGTAATGACTTTGGAGTTGTCGTTGTCTTGTCAAGCACAGCAATCATCTATTTCCTCTTCAAGATGCAGCCATTCTAGGCGACACACGGTGATTATTTGTTGATCTGTGTCCCCCCGGATGAGACCTGTGATGATGCAACTACGTCTCTCCTGGGGGAGGCCTTGCGTCAAGTTCGCCTTGCTGTGCATGATTCCCCTCTGGACACACCAGCTGAAGGCTGTTCGCCTAGTCTGGTTCCACCTGAAGACATTCGTCTTGCATTTGGGGAAGCCGATGTTGAAGATGCGCTGCTGTTACAGACGTCTCCTCCGGCACCTTCTGCTCTGGATTCACCACCAGCCTGGTGCTATTGTCAGCGATGTTGATCCGATGTCCGTGAAGGCTATGTGTATCTCCTCTGACTTTCACAGGTCTGACGCACCCATCAAAATGGCAGACTCTCCTGCACCTCTTCAATGCAGCTGGACTGAGGAGTTCCTGCAGGCCATGAATGCGCTTCAGATGGCACAGGAAGATTTCCGCAATTGACTTGCCTACTTGCGTTCAAGAGCTCTGGCCGATGTGGCAGCAATCTGCTCGTCCCGGCCCTGGCGTCGCCAACGTTGAGACGTGGTATACTGATCATGGACGGGTACAACGATGCTTGTCCTCGCGTATGTTACCTTAGGAGCAGATCCTACCTCTTGGGTTTCAGATATTCTGTGAACACATGCTGCGTTATGAGGAAGATGTTAAGCAAGCCTGCCGACGTGAAAGATTTGCAGATTCTTGAAAAAATAGCATTGCTTTGCTCAGGTTGTGTGCCCCTTACGAGCTATGATGCTTCCCTGCGCAGCAACCTCAACTGCGAGCAGTTTGGAATGATTGGATCAACTATATATAAGGATTTGAAACGGGAAATCCATCCCTCGGTAAATAAACACAATGTCAACGCACCTGTTGTTTCAAGAATCAAGCAAATAACGCAGCCACTTTCTTGTTTGGCAGGGCATATCCTCAGGCCCTGTGTTGTTGCTTTTAGGGTAATGAATTTTAGGGTTAAAGGATTTTACGGTTAAAGGCTCTTAGGGTTAAAGGATTTTAGAGTTAAAGGATTTTAGGGTTGGCGGATTTTAGGGTTGAAGGATTTTAAGGTTAAAGGATTTCCAGGTTAAAGGGTTTCAGGGTTTGTTGCTTTTAGGGTTAATGAATTTTAGGGTTAAAGGATTTTACGGTTAAAGGCTCTTAGGGTTAAAGGATTTTAGGGTTAAAAGATTTTTTAGGGTTGGATTTTACGGATTTTAGGATTTTAGGATTTTAGTTAAAGGATTTTAGGGTTCGCGGATTTTAGGGTTGAAGGATTTTAAGGTTAAAGGATTTCAGGGTTTGTTGCTTTTAGGGTTAATGAATTTTAAGGTTAAAGGATTTTACGGTTAAAGGCTCTTAGGGTTAAAGGATTTTAGGGTTAAAAGATTTTAGGGTTGGCGGATTTTAGGGTTGAAGGATTTTAAGGTTAAAGGATTTCCAGGTTAAAGGATTTCAAGGTTTGTTGTTTTTAGGGTTAATGAATTTTAGGGTTAAAGGATTTTACGGTTAAAGGCTCTTAGGGTTAAAGGATTTTAGAGTTAAAGGATTTTAGGGTTCGCGGATTTTAGGGTTGAAGGATTTTAAGGTTAAAGGATTTCAGGGTTTGTTGCTTTTAGGGTTAATGAATTTTAAGGTTAAAGGATTTTACGGTTAAAGGCTCTTAGGGTTAAAGGATTTTAGGGTTAAAAGATTTTAGGGTTGGCGGATTTTAGGGTTGAAGGATTTTAAGGTTAAAGGATTTCCAGGTTAAAGGATTTCAAGGTTTGTTGCTTTTAGGGTTAATGAATTTTAGGGTTAAAGGATTTTACGGTTAAAGGCTCTTAGGGTTAAAGTATTTTAGGGTTAAAGGATTTCAGGATTAAAGGGCGATGGTTAAAGGAAGTAAGGATTAAAGGCTGAAGGATCTTATGGTTAAAGGATTTTTCGGTTAAAGGATTTAGGGTTCAAGGTGTTAAGGATTAAGCGATTCTAGGGTTAAACGATTTTACGGTTAGATGATTTTAGGGTTATAAATGTTTTTTTGGGTAATTAAAAGGATTATAAAGTGAACGGATTTTAGGTTTACAGAATTTAAAGTGAAAGGAATTTAGGGTTAAATATTTTTTTGGTTAACCTGATTTTAAGGTGAACGGATTTTAGGGTTAAATGATTTTAAGTTTAACAGATTTTAGGCTGAAAGGATTTTAGTGTGTTTTAATGTAGTTCCCAAAGCAGAGAATGAAACTAGTAGACACTCTATAGGATGAGGAGAGAGGCAAATCTTATCATCGGAATCCCTGGAAACAGCCATTTTAGGCCAAATCCTCGCCAGGACCCCTTTTGTGGACTTCGCTATTAAACAAATTGTTTTTGGGAATGCATGGAAACAGCCAATTTGAATCAAATCCTGACCAGGAGCCTTTTGGAGGCTTCCAAGTCACTATAAAAAATGTCCTCCTGGAAATCATTGGAAAGTGTCCTTTTGGACAGAATCCCGGCCAGGAGCCCTTTTGAAGCTCGATTTTGGGCATTTTGGCAGCCCTCCAGGTCCCTATTAAAACTTCTTTTGGGAATGTCTGGAAACGGCAATTTTGGGCCAAATCCTGGCCAGGAGCACTTTTGGAGCTCGATTTTTGCATTTTGGCAGCTCTCCACGTCGCTATTCAAAGAGGGGCCCCCATTCTGGAAAGGCAAAAAATTATCAGAAATGCATAAAAAGGTCCAGGGTCAGGATTTGGCGCCGGACCCCTTAAAACGAGCATTTTTTAGTATTGAAATCACCTCCTTTTTTGGTGCTGATTTTTTTAATTTTTGGGAAGTTTGTCTTGAAGATGCTTTTGCAGCTCTCCACGTCACTGATAAAAGAGAAGCCCCACTATGGAAAGGCAAGAATCTTCAAACATGTTTGTAAAAAGGGGGCCCCATGAATTGAGGTTTAGGGCACGCACGTCCCACTGAACCAAAGCACATCAAAAACAGAGGAGAGAAAGGGGGCCCCGATATAGAATATAGAAAGGCAAAAATGACCAGACATCTGTGTAGAAAAGGGAGCCCCATGAATTGAGGTTTAGGGCACAGGCGCCCTACTGAACCAAAACAACGTCCTCAAAACAAAGGACCAAAAGGGGTGCCCCAACATAGAAAAGCAGAAATCATTCATTAAAAAATGCTTTTAGGAAAGGAGGGCCCCATAGTTTAAGGTTTAGGGCATGCGCACCCTAAGCCTTAAACTTTGGGGTCCCTTTTCTAAAAGGTATGTTTGAATGCGGCACAGCTTGTTTTAGAATAGCTTGGGGAACCTGAAAAAGGTCCAGGGTCAAGATTTGGCGCCGGACCCCTTAAAACGAGCATTTTTTAGTATTGAAATCACGTCCTTTTTGGGCGCTGAAAATTTTCGATTTTTGGGAAGTTTGTCTTGAAGATGCTTTTGCAGCTCTCCACGTCACTGATAAAAGAGGGGCCCCATGCTGGAAACGTAAGCATCTTCAAACATGCTTGTAAAAAGGGAGGCCCCAAAACTTAAATTTTAGACACGCACGCCCCACTCAACCACAATACCAAAAACAGAGGAGAGAAAAGGAGCCCCGATATAGAAATGCAAAAATTATCAGACATGTGTGTAGAAAAGGGGGCCCCATGAACTGAGGTTTAGGGCGCGCACGCCCTACCTACTGAACCAACACAACGTCCTCAAAACAAAGGACCAAAAGGGGTGCCCCAACATAGAAAAGCAGAACGCAATATAATAAAAAATGCCTTTAGGAAAGGGGGGCCCCAAAGTTTAAGGTTTAGGGCGCGCACGCCCTATTGAACAAAAACATTCCACAACAAAGGAACAAAAGGAGGCCCCAATATAGAAAGGCGAAATTCTTCAAACATACCTTTTAGAAAAGGGACCCCAAAGTTTAAGGCTTAGGGCGCGCACGCCCTACCTACTGAACAAAGCACATTCTCAAAACAAAGGGGTACAAAGGGGGCCCCAAACAAAAGCACAAAAGACACAGGGAGCCCGAGCCAAAAATCCGAAAACGGGGGGCCCCAAAAAAAAGGCAAAAACGCCACATAAAAGAGGGTGACCCGAGTTTTAAGGATTAGGGCGCGCACGCCCTATAGAGAGAAACAGTTTTCAAGATTCTATTATTCGTAAAGTTTGCCTAGGACGACAACCTGTGTTGTCGGACCCTAAACCCTAAACCCTAAATTTTGGTGGCTTGCGCCAAGTGTGCGCCACGAAGGGTCTTCTTGGTAAGCCGTTGCTTGAGCCTGCTTC